CCTAAACCCTAAACCCTAAACCCAGCTACAAGTCCTGGGTCCAGTTTAGAGGAGGACAGCGAGTTGCAGGTGCATGCTGGTGCTGCGGCATGAACCCCTTGGATCTTTCTCCTCAACAAGTCAAGTGGACTTGCGACGCGTAGATTGTCCCTGAAGCCAGCCCCCTAAAACCCTAAACCCGGAACCCTAAAGAATCCCTAAACCCTAAACCCGGAACCCTAAAAATCCCTTAAGCCCTGAATTCTAAACCCAAAAATGGCTCTTCAGGCAATGCCTCCAGCCGCATGCGGGGTACGGTCATGGACTTGGAGGCCGCATGGCTGGTCCCTTATTGAAAAGCGATCCCGAAAGTCTCCCTGAAATTCTTAAAGTCACCAGGCTGAAGGTCACGGAAGCTCTCCAAGTTACGTGCAGCGTCTCTAGATGAGATCTCTCAATATCTCCGCGCTGGCACGAGTTGGCTGCTTACAGTTCAGCCGAGCAAGCCGATCAGCTGGGTCTCCGCAGGATGGCAAGCACATGGTCGACCTCTTGCAGAATGACCGCCACCCTGTCGAACTCGCCAATAATTGCCGGATTTGTTGGGTCTGGATCTGTCTGAAAGGGTTGTGCGTCAAGTTGTGAGAGTTTCCGGAATCTTCGGTCGGGTCCCAGCCGGCTTCTTCTATGCTTCGCCTGCAGGAGCCAAGGCCGCCTAAGGATCTGATGAACTACATCGCCAGCAGCCCAGACGTCTCCCGCAAGATGCCATTTCGGGTGTTCTGGAGAGTCCTGGAAGAAACGGCAGTCCGGCCCTAAACCCTCAGGACACTGTGGTGCAGAGTCGTGCCAAGCATGGAAGGTGGGAATGGTGTTCAGTTATCCAGGCAAAACGGAATTTTCGATGCTCTGCTTGCCTCTTCCACTGGGAGGTACCTTGATGAGACGGCACTTAGGAACAACCTCATCATGGACCAAAGACGGAACTACGAAGATAGCCTGAAGGATGCCTGTTGGGATGGTGGGGGCTTCTGGGGGCCTCCAGTGTGTGGACCCAACATGGAGTAGCAATGTTTTGGAGGAGTGCGCTGCGGGCGCAGGGGTTTGTTTTTACAATGCATGTTGCCTTGATGTGTTGCCTTTTTTTTGTTTCTCCAAATTCAAGGCCTCACAGCGTGTAAGGGCACACGCCACATTGCAAGTTGACCTTTCCGGTTGCGGTCAGGCAAGGCGGCAAAGCCCTCCCCCTCTTTACCCCCCCCCCCCTTCTCCAGTTTCCCCCCCCCCCCCCCCTACCCCCCCCCCCCCCCTCTTCTTTTCCACTCCACGACCGAACGTGGACCGATTCTCGGTGCGGGCTACTTAACCCTAAACAACCCTAAGACCTTTGAAGATAAGATTACGAAGTGTGTCACAAGTATTAGGCCATGCTAGCAAACGTCCAGGAACATTGCGTTTCATTGGGGCGGAGATCCTTCAGCAACCATTTTGGATGATGTTTCGGGGCCTCAGGTCCCTCCCCATGACAAACTTTATTGAACCGCTGTAGTCTCCGTGTCCTATCTTGTGTGTTGTTGGTCCTTGGTCGTTTTGGAAGTTACTTTTCCTTTCATAGTCACATTGGAGGGGATCATCCGGCCTTGCGTTGCGCAGAGAAGCTATGAACATACTCGGCTCTGCTTGCCAGGAGCAAGTAGCCGGATCCCCGGGCATTGTTGCTATCACGTCCATTTTGTGGCCGTGGTGACCTGGTACAACAGCATTGGCTCAACCTCCGAGGAAACCATGAAGAAGGTTGTGCATGCCGCGCAGCCAGGTCCCCACCGTTGTTGCTAAATTATATTTTGGGAGCTTCGTGGTTGACCTCTGACAAGGGTTGTAAGTTTGGGGGAAGCCAGGACTTATTTTTCCATGAAAGCGGGGCATCGGAACCGATTCCGAGGCATTGAAGTAGCCACCACCCACAGAATCCGATTATGAGACCTCCCAAGGAACTGTGACTGCCCGACTCTGATCTCAATTGCTGTTGCGAGCTCAGGCTTTAGCTGCCGGCTGACAGTTTCGCGGTGCTTTCTAGCTTTTCCCATGTTCCTCAACGCAGGGCAGGACTGCTGTAGCATCTTGAATACCGCAGAAATCGGGTTAAGCTTGGGATGTACCCCCTTATACTAACGGCACTTCATAAAGATTATAGTTGATTATCGTACCTCCTCAGTTGTAATCCTATTAAGGAGCTATCAGGTCAGGTTGGCGCCTAAACAACACGAAGCCAAGACTTAAGGCGGCCCAGAGATCAGAGAAGATCGCGTTTCTCCGGATTCGGCGAATCAAGCAGCCGTAGCCCCGGTGACAGATGGGAAAGAGAGGGCAAGAGGTCTAGTTGCCCAGAAGGCTATCGCATCTCCTTCTGTACATGGCTGTGGTGGCTTCGTAGAGCTTGAAGCAGGAAGGGATGGGAGGGAGGGAGATCATGGCCTCAGCGTAAACCCTAAACCCTAAACCCTAAACCTTAAACCCCAAACCCCAAACCCTAAACCCCAAACCCTAAAACCCTAAACCCTAAACCCTACATGAGGCGCAACCGAAAGCAGAAGCCGACGCTGGAGCCCTGGCATGTAGCAGAGCATCACGACACGAGAGGAGAGATGAGAGTCGAGAACTCGTCCGCGTCCTCGAAGCCAGCGCTTCGCTGAAGTGAAGCTTCGAAGCCCCTAAACCCTAAACCCTAAACCCTAAACCCTAAGCCCTAAACCCTAAACCCTAAACCCTAAACCCGAAACCCTAAACCCTAAACCCTACACCCTACACCCTACACCCTAAACCCTAAACCCTAAACCCTAAACCCTAAACCCTAAACCCTAAACCCTAAACCCTAAACCCTAAACCAACCCTGTAAACCCTATGAACCCTAATCCCGAAACCCTAAACCCTATAAACCCTGAACTTGGCGGGGCCAAGGCCTGGGCAAAAGGCCATTGATGGCTTGGAGGAGGCGGACGTCAAAGTCCAGGCCACATGGAGTCCGAGGGTTCAACGTGGCGGCCTAACCCCTAAACCCCAGAGCTTGCAGCTTGCTTTCTGCTGTCTGAATCCGCATGATGCCAAGAAATATGAGAAAAGAGTTGGCGTTCATCCCCCCCCCCCCCCCCCCCCCCCCCCCCCCCCCCCCCCCCCCCCGCACAACCTCCTAAAAAGATCATTCAATCGGCGTAGTTTTCCCCAACATCTCAGCAGCAAAGCTTGCCCTATAGCACAGGAGTTACGGGAGTCCTTCGTCCCGAGCCAGCAGCAGCCTCAGAAAGCGTTGTGGGGACCCCCAGTTCGGTTTAGGGTTTAGGGTTTAGGGTTTAGGGTTTAGGGTTTAGGGTTTAGGGTTTAGGGTTTAGGGTTTAGGGTTTAGGGTTTAGGGTTTAGGGTTTAAGAGTCTGGGTTCAAAAGGGTTGCTTCAACACATGCCCCAAAGCTGCGGCGAACTCTTTGCAGGAGCTTCACCCTGGGGCAACTCGAATCAAAAGGCACAGCTCCTGTTGAAAGTGGTGGTCGGTGTGTCGCTCTCTCTCTCTCTCTCTCTCTGTTTTTGCATTTTTGCGTGTTTGTTTGTTTGTTTGCTTGCTTTGTTTGTCTTTTTTTGTTTGCTTGCCGTCTTGCCTGCTTGCCTGCTTGCTTGCTTGCTTGCTTGCTTGCTTGCTTGCGGCGGCACCGGATTCAGGTGTCCCCGTAGCTCCTGACTCTCAGACTCGGAAGCCTTCGGGAGGTGTTCTGGTGCGCCTCCATGACGGGATCGCCTCCAAGAGCAGGAGCGCTGAAAAGCCCTGAGTTGCCCGAAATTTGGGGAAGCCTTGCAGCCGAGCCTACCTTCTGCAGGAAGCACATCCATTTCAACTTCATCATGGCCAACGAAGGCGGAGTTTTTTGTTGCCGGACATTGCGGTGTCTCAGGTTTGGGGAGCGATCTGGGTGGCAATGCGAGCTGACAAGCAGCTTGTAGACCACAGCTCTCACTGAGATGCAGCACTCATGGCAACTACGTTCATCTGCTCTCAAACGGTCGTAGACAAGAGCCTAAACCCTAAACCCTCAAGGCAAAACCCCAAGCCCTAAACTCCCGTTGCAGAGAGCACATGAGGTTTCGATGTTCAGATCTTCGTCCCCAAAGCAAAGATGAAAGAGACGGAGGACCGTATCCTGAAAGAGCCGGCTCCTTAAGGGAGTTTAGGGTTTAGGGTGAGGGTCCCAGGTCCCCAGGCAACAAGGGGCCAGGGCTGCTGGGGTTCAATAGTCAATAGTCCGTTCCCCCTGACACTAACACACCCCTAATGCTAAAAAAACCCTGACCCCAAAACCCGATCCCCGAACCCGCCCCTGTTAAAACCTCCGAACTGGGGGGGGGGGGGGGTTTAGGGGGGGTTGGAAGCAGAGACCTGAACCCTGACTTTGCAAGCCCCAAACCCTTAAGACTCAAGTTCCTCTCAGTCCCCGATCCTTTGTTTGTTCGGGAAGTCGATCTGAACCGCTAGTACTAACAGCCTTTGGAGGTTTTGGTTAGGGGGAAGGGCTTACAGTGCAAGACAGTACTGCATAGTGGTGCCAGGCTTTAGACGATAAGAGCCTGAGCCCCGATGCCAAGGTTCCACATCTCGAGGCAGGAAATTCAAGATTTGGAGGTGCCCTCCCTCTGCCCTGCTTTGCCTTCCTCCGCTGGCATCCTGCGGTGCTTCTTTTTGCACTTCTGGGACCTTTAGGAGGCGAGGTAAGGTGGGTGTGTGTGTGTGTGTGCGTATTTCCATCCCACTTTGGCTCCGCAGCCCTTGCCAGTGCCTCTTTGAGCCCCCCCCGCCTGGATGGCCATAATGTGCACAGTCGTTGCATCTAGACGGCTGACAGTGCAGAGAGTGTCGGTAACACAGCCATACACGTGAAGAACACAAGGGACAGAAAGAGCCCACGCACCGGAGCCATGGCACTAAGCAAGCCCACCTAGGCTTGTTCAAAACAAGAACAGTCCGGCAGCGCTGAGAAGGATGCTGCGTCCCATGAGCCACATCAAGCAGCAGGACCCTAAACCCTAAACCCTAAACCCTAAACCCTAAACCCTAAACCCTAAACCCTAAACCCTAAACCCTAAACCCTAAACCCTAAACCCTAAACCCTAAACCCTAAACCCTAAACCCTAAACGCTGGCTGGGCTTGGGATGCAACGTTCGAGGAGCTGGCGCTGGGAGTCCAGAAAGCCTCGGCGCTCTTCGAAGCTCGGCTCCGGCAACTGGAGGCGGTCAAGGAGAGTTTAGGGTTTAGGGTTTAGGGTTTAGGGTTTAGGGTTTAGGGTTTAGGGTTTAGGGTTTAGGGTTTAGGGTAGAGTGTTTAGGGGCTTTGCGCAGATCGGGCTTGAGGATGGAGCTTGACCCAGCGCAGGATCAAGAGATTGCTACGCTGCGCGAGAGGGCCACTTCTGCGCTTCGCAAGGCGGGCAGAAGGAAGGCCTTTCTTGTTGGCGTTATGGCGTTTTGGGGATGCTTCCCAAATGCTCCCCTTTGTTTTTTCTTCAAGAAGCAAAAAGGCTGTTTTCAAGGCATCAGCTGTCAACTTGTGCTGCGCAGGCAGACGAGCAGCGTGCTCTTGAAGTTCAGGGCCTGCTCCGGTGCCTTGGTATCCCAACAAATGGGATGTCGCTTAGATCCTCCATTCACGATTCTTTCGAAAGAATCGGGTTTGGGGGGCTATTGTAGTATAGTTATCCAGGGACCATAAGGGAATATTATCAGCAATCATTCCGACCCCCTATATGAAGTAACCCTAAATATCCCCGCGATTGGAGCCTTGTGCTCAGCAAGTGCACAGGCAGCTCGAGCAAGAGCGCGCGGCGAGGGATGCTTCCCAGTACCACATCGAGAGCTTGCAGCAACTTGGCACCCCCTAGCATCGGGTCAGGGTTTAGGGTTTAGGGTTTAGGGTTCAGGGTTCAGGGTTCAGGGTTCAGGGTTTAGTTCGGGTGTGCATCCCCGTGATTTCTTCGAAGCTTTGGCGTCCAGGAGGATGGTGGAAGAGCTCCGACAAGAGGCGCTGGACAGACCCTCTGAGGTGCTCGGGGCGTCGGCTTGATAGATCCTGTTAGGTCAGATAAGTCAGATCAGGATAAACCCTAAACCCTAAACCCCCCACAACATCCATTCTTTTCGAGAGTTGAGTTCAGAAGGCAGAGGCCCATCGCCTGCGGGAGCAGCTGCGGCAGCTGCGCGAGCAGCAGCCTGCCCGTATGACGCAGCCACATCGGAGGGCTTAGTCTTAGCATACGGAGTAACTATGGAACTCCTCCTTGACAAAATAAATAAATAAATATATATATATATAGGTAGATATATATATATATAGATATATATATATATAGATATATAGATATATAGATATATAGATATATAGATATATAGATATATAGATATATAGATATATAGATATATAGATATATAGACAAAAAAGATATATACCAATATATGTATATATATATATGTATAGACATATAGAGTCTTAGAGAGAGCCCGCAAGTCGGCAACAGCCGATACGACTACTGGCCAATGTGAGCAGTCAGGCGCCAGGCGCACATCTTGCTAAGCCGATGAGAGCCATGGACCTCAGGGCTTAGGGTTTAGGGTTTAGGGTTTAGGGGCCAGGGCCTGGGAGTTCCGAAAATCTATGGGAAAAGCATCACGTGCGCACTTGTTTCAGGCCGACTGTTGCATCAAGAAGGCAAGGAGGGGGAGAGAGACAGGCGGGAATCCCGGCGCACTCAGCAGGTCGAGGGCCGGTACGCCAGACCCTCCCAATGGGGAGGGGTCAAGTGCGCAGTATGAAAGAAAGAAGGAAAGACAGAAAGAACGCAAGCAAGCAAGGAAGGAAGGAAGGAGGAAGGAGGAAGGAAAACAGTAAAGAGAGTTCAGTTGTAGCGGTCACGCGTGGTCCCATGCCTTTTCGGGCTCAGAAGTTGTCCCCAGCAACCGGGGCCGGCAGGGGGGGGTAAACCTCCCCTTGCCCCATTCAAAACAGCAAGACAGCAACAGAAAGGAATAAAGCAAGAACATGCGTGCTTGTGTGCAGCAAACAAGGTAATCTGAGCTCACATAGACACCAGAGCAGGGCCATGCAAGCCATCGCCGAGCTAAGCAGCTAAGGCTTACCGAAACTGAGTCAAGCCTGAGGGTTTCACGAAAAGGGCTGGAGGACGGGCGTCTGGGTTTCTGGCACTGTATTGGGAGCTCAGCGAGCTGTGGCACAGTGAAGGATGCGCAAGCTACCCAAGAGAAGCTGCAAGAGAAGCTGCGCAAAGCTGAACGCCAGCTTAAGGAGAAGGCCAGTTGGTACATGTGTCTTGCCGCTCCTCCGTGAAGAAGCCATGTGCCTGACGTGGTTCAGGCCCCCGCGCCGTGAAGCACTCAGCTCCTTGTGTGTGTCACAAGGTCTCATGCCGTGAGCCACTTGTGGAGAGATCGCCAGCGCTGCTCATCGCTGGTAAGGACCATCCAAGTGGCTGCCAGTCCGCCGGTCAGTACAGCTCCGATGACGCTGCCGCCAGAACAGGCTCGGCCCCCCTGTTGTGTTGATAATTTTTGATAGCTGAAGCCTGGACTTGCTTTGGGGGAAGCATTCGCTTTTGAGCTTCGGGACTTGAGGCCATGCAGCCCCAGTGGTCGGCGCCTGTGCCAGAGCCGTTCCTGGGCTCTATAATATTATAATCTTCGTTTTGCTTTGTCAGGTTATACGTGGGCATTTCCCAAGATAGGGGTACCCCCTTTGATGCCCCAAATAGAATAGAATCCCCTTAAAGAGCCCCCGCAAAAAGGATACCCCTCTTCTTGGAAACCCCCTAGTTGCCTAAGCTGTTGCCGTGGGCGTCGGCATTCCATCCAAGCATGCAAGCATGGTAGGGACTTCGAGGGAACGTTGCCGACCTACACCTTAGAGGCCTGTGGGTTTAGAATTCCACCAAATGGCGATCTTCTCTTCAGCCAGAAAAGGAAACATCCGTTCAGGCTTCCCGTCGGACACTATGATGGCTATGCTGAACAGCGCCTGGGATGCCTTGCTGCACCTTCACGAAGATTCCAGCAGGTTTCAGGGGCATTCTTGGAGGAGAGCTCAGGCAGAGCTATGCTGGCTATGCTGAGCAGCCTTCGTCGGCTGGCTGGTTTGACCCTGGGACCCAGCAGCAGCTCACCTGCAACCCACGAAGAGCAGGGATCGGTATGTTACTTGGATGTTCATGGCTACTTATTAACCAATTATAACTGTACTTGCAACCCACTTCATAAGCCACAGTTGTAAGTAGAGTTCGAAGTGCCTAACGAGTACCATGAAGCTCCAAGTATGGTGGGCTGCAAGCGAGGATTCCCTGCAATCAGGTTCCCTATGCCAGAAGTGGCGCCAGAAGCCCATTGGTCACAGCAAGACTTTTCAGGCTGCACGTTCATGTGCCCCATTGCCTGCTTCCTGACAGAAATCGGTCATGCTGTAGCGACCCCTAGAGACTGGTTTGCGGTGTCTTTCCTTGATGCCCTTAGATGAGAATTTTCAGGCCCACCAGGATGGGCTATTAGGCCACTTCTAATCCCCACAATGAACTCTAGGAAGAGCCTTTCAAGGGATACTATAGGAAGAGCCTTTCAAGGGATACTATAGGGTATAATAGCCCATCCTGGCACAGGAAGCAGGATGCTTGCAGCAGCCGGCCGTCGCAACACGAAGCGTCTCACGCCTCTGCTGGGCTCAGATCAGCTCCGCCATGGGCAGGGCTTAGGGGCAGCGTAGCACCACACGATGTTGGACGCTTTATGCCTTAAAAATCTACGTGGCGAAAGGGCAGAGGAAAGGCCCCCCCCCAAGGAAGAATCCGACAGAATTTACATAAACAGCAAAAGCTTCACTCCTCAGCTTCTTGGAGCCTATCCCCCCAAAAGCCCAATATGTCATGAACAAAGAAGTCCAGCCCACGACAAAGAAAGCATCTTTTCGAATAAGAGGCTGGTATTGAGAAGAAAAGATGGCCATGGGCTGGTGCTGAACATGACTGGTCCGTCCCCTCAGAGCGCGACCGGAGATGGGGACATGGAGGCTGGGAATGGTGGACACCTCAACCTCAAGTTCATTCATCACCATGAAAAGAGTACAACAACATAAGGATGATAATCATCGAAGGATATGAGAATCACACACTGCGGGTGATAGAGGTTTTCCTTGCGCTGATCGGCCAAATACCACCGTTTAGGACACACCGCGCATCATGCAACACCAGATACCCGACCAGGGTGCGTACATACGTCACGCGCGTGGCAATGGACAGATGCTGTAGCATTGAGTGACAGCGCTTCAGAGATTTGAGAACTTCAGCTTCGGAAATAACAGAGGTCTTGTCGCATTTTCGTAGACATAAGTCATGCCCGCCCTCAGAGGGGTACTTGTAGCTGCCAGGCAGACTTTCTGTTCCAAGCAGACTTCGACTGTGAGCCGGAAGGGCTTCCGGCGCCTTGTGAGCAATCGGGAACAGAGGGCGAATACACTGTAACATACACACACACACACATATATATATATATCTATACACAGATACAGACACACACATATATATATATATATGAGGGCAAAAGGGCGACAACGCCGACACGCAGAGTACATTGGATAGTACATATGCAATGTTATCATTGTATCATATACTAGATACTGTACACCATACACTCGCGCAATGTAGCATTCTGTTCTATACACCGTATACTGGGCACCTAAACACTGTGCACCATGCACTATACGCTACTCGCACCCGTATTCTTAAAGGGGGAAGAATATCGATGGATAAGTACATATACATATAGGCATATATGTATATATACATATACATATGTGTATATATATATATATTTATATTTATACATATATATATATATATGTGCATATATATATATATACAATATACACTAACAGACCATATGGTTGCTGCATCTTCCTGACCTCCACACCAAACCTCGCACCAGTCCTATGCTGGGGATGAAGGTGAGCCCTTCCAAGACGACGCCAGTCCATCCCGGGAAGGAGAAGACCCAGGCCCAGCCAAGCTGTGCTTAGGGTTTAGGGTTTAGGGTTCAGGGTTTAGGGTTTTGGGCTTAGGGTTTAGGGTTTCGGGTTTATGGCCTGAGGTTTAGGGTTTAGGGTTTAGGGCTTGCAGGATGTTTGCCCAAGAGGGTAAAAAGCTTCCGTTTTTTGTATACAGACAAAATGTTATTGAATCCAGCTTGTTAGTTTTTTTAATGTCTGCCCAAGAATGCAAAGGGTCCTGGAAGATTTTGCAAGATTCCGGGGAGCTGACACCTGGTGCATCGCCAAAAATTCAGGGAGCCGCCGCAAGGAGAGGATTGGTTGCGCGTCCAAATGTCTGAGCGCAAAAATCACCGAAGCTTGCGAGGCTTTGGGGTCTCTGGTGCGGCAATGTGAACCAGAGGAGCCGCCAGAGGAGGAGAAACCGGAGAGCCTGGGAAGCGTCCTGGGAAAGAGTTTTGGGGGGATCGTTTGGAGTGTGTTCGGAAATACGTCCTGACGTTCGGGCCCTGTCCCCCTTGTCCCTCTAAACCCTAAACCCTAAACCCTAAACCCTAAACCCTAAACCCTAAACCCTAAACCCTAAACCCTAAACCCTAAACCCTAAACCCTAACTGCACTAACCCTAAACCCTCAAGGAAGCACTTCGGGGACTTTTCTATGCAGCTTTTCGAAGCCTGGCGCCTCATCATCCGGCCACCGCGGCGGAGGTGGAGTCCAAAATGCTATAAGACATCCCCTGGCGTGGCTTTAGGGTTTAGGGTTTAGGGTTTAGGGTTTAGGGTTTAGGGTTTAGGGTTTGGGTTTCTGACCCCATGACAGAAGTTGGGAAATTGGGGCCGTTTCGAGTCTTGTGACTCAGAGCGCATTGGTCCACAGGTATGCGCGGCTTGCTTATAGCTGCTATCGGTACGAGCTGACACACGTACTTGGAGGTTCGTGGCATGAACCAAATATAACTTATAACCCACCTATAAGCCCCTTCAGTGCCCTAGTAGGGTTATAAGTACAGTTTCAGTACAGCTATAATTAGTTAGTAAGTACGTGAACCTCCAAGTCGCCATCATGCAAGCGAAGCCTGCGAATTTCGGCGGAGCACGGCGAGGTACCCGACGAAATCCTTGGGCCCAACATCTTTGCAGGTGACGTGGGTGCAAGTAAGTAGGAGTCGCGCGAGGTCGCACAAGCGCGACTTCGCACAGCATGCAAAACTTTGAGCTCAGTAGCCTAGTAGTCTTGCGCAAAAGAATCCACACCCTAAACCCCCGAGTGCTTGCAGAAACCCTTCGAGGGTCACGCTGGCCCGAAGCTTCCCCTGGAGTAGTTCTGGTGTTGATTGGACCTCTGTGGTTGCTGCATGGAGTAGCTGAGTAGTTCAGAGTGCCAGTTGCGAGCCAATGATTTAATGGGTTGCCGACCCACGGAAAACCCGCGCAAGTCTGCGAGGTGATCTTGCCTGGCTACAATGAGTCGCGCCGCCTAAGCCAGCCTCTAGAGCGTCATGACATTGTGCCTTGGCTTCAACACTTGTCTCAAGGAATATTGTAAATAGTACGCAGTATAGTGCATAGTAAGGAGTACGTAAGTAAGCAGTGAAAAAGTAGGTAGTAGGAGTGGGCAGTCTAGACGACATAGTAGTAGCAGTAACAGCAGCAGTAGCGGAAGCGGTAGCGGTAGCAGTAGCAGTATAGGAGTAGGAGTAGGAGTAGGAGTAGGAGTAGGACTAGTAGTAGTAGTCGTCGTAGTAGTAGTAGTAGTAGTAGTCGTAGTCGTAGTCGTAGTAGTAGCTGCAGCAGCAGCAGCAGCAGGAGTAGTAGTAGTAGTAGTAGTAGTAGTAGTAGTAGTAGTAGTAGTAGTAGTAGTAGCAGTAGCAGTAGCAGTAGCAGTAGTAGTAGTAGTAGTAGTAGTAGTAGTAGTAGTAGTAGTAGTAGTAGTAGTAGTAGTAGTGGTAGTGGTAGTGGTAGTGGTAGTAGTAGTAGTAGTAGTAGAAGAAGTAGTAGTAGTAGTAGTAGTAGTAGTAGTAGTAGTAGTAGTCGTGGTGGTGGTAGTAGTAGTAGTACTACTACTACTACTTCTACTGCTGCTCCTACTACTACTACTACTACTACTACTACTACTACTACTACTACTAGGCGTCACGTTCTTAATTGATCGCAGGGGTTTTGTGGCGTGCAATTTTCGTGTTAAGAGACGAAAACCTCGGTATTTACAGTGTTTCCTGGCTTTGTCCGTTTACGGACACGAAAAATGGACGTGTAAAAAGTCCCGCAAACTACTTTCAACTACTTTAGGCGCAGGAGAAAAACATGGTGGCGGCGCCCGTAAGAGGCCGTGTGACTGAACACATTCTGTGTTTACATTTGTCGCGTCGAGGGCTGAAAGCCCAAGCAAAACACACATTTTCGTGATCACCGCAGCATTTGCAGGGCTCGAAAACACTGAAGGGTTAGGTCATTTTTTCGGAAAAATGCATTTTCGCTCGAAGCCTGATCGTTTTTTTTGTTGTTTTTTTTCCAGGGGGTCCTTTTTTTGAAGTTTTGGACGCGTTTTTTGCTCGAATTTGCGCTCTCGCCCAGGCGCGGGCACGTTTTGCTCATTCCCCATGTTGAACTTTCAAATGGCGATTTTCGGTTCGGGAAGTTTTTTCTGCGTTATGGCTCCGGCAGTTCAGGTTCGAAATAGTGCTCTCGCCACAGCGCAGGCATGATTTTCTGGAATTGTGCTTTGGTTGTAACCCAACAGACTTGTGCACTGGATCCTGAAAGTGGCCTCAAGTTGATTCTTCTTCAGGGTTCAAGGTTCAAAGTTTAGGGTTCAGGTTTCAGGATTTGGGTTTGCACTGCTTGGACTATTCTTTTGGGTTTAAGGATCGTTTGTTTGTTGTGTTTTTTTCTCGGGGGTGTCGTTTTGAAGTTTCGGACACATTTTTTGCTTGAAATTGCGCTCTCGCCTAGGCGCGGGCGCGTTTTGCTTATAAACCCCGAATTAAACAGCAAGGGTTTAGGCCTTTGGGGATTAGGGGTTCAGGCTTTGGAGTTGCAGGTGTGAAGTCCCAAGTCACGTGATTACCCCCCCCCCACCCCCCCCCCCCCCCCCCCCCCCCCCCCCCCCACCCCCCCCCCCCCACCCCCCCCCCCCCCACCCCCCCCCCCCCCCCCCCAACCCCACCCCGAGCCCAGAAATTGTGGTTACTCGCACGGCCTCTTAGAGGCGCCGTCTCCAAAAACATCGGTATTTACAGTGTTTTCGGGCTTCAAAAACGGTCAATTACAGGGCCTACTTTGCGCAGACGTGTTCTCAGAACAGAGGAAAAGACCGGTATTTACAGCGTTTCGCGGGTTTTCTAAGATGTGATCTCAACCCCACAGCGTCAAGCACGTCCCCAGAAAAAACACAAAACATCTGGAGCCTGAAACCCCAAACCCCATGTGTACCCTGAATGACAAAGCAGTCCCACAGTGCACCCCCTTAAACCTTAAATCCCATAGAAAAAGCCCAAAAGTCCTTTCACCTTACAGCCTCAACCCCAAACCCTTCCCTTAAACCCTCAACCCCAAATCCCAAAAAAGCCCAGAAGATCCCTAAACCCTCCACTGTGAATCCCAAAAAGCCGAAAAGATCCCGAAACCCTCCACTGTGAGCCCAAAAGGTCTTACCCTTAAACCCTAAACCCCAAATCCCAAAAAACCTCAAAAGGTCTCTACCCTCAAGCCCCAAACCCTAAACCCTCCACTGTAAGCCCAAAATGTCTTGCCCTGAAACCCTAAACCCCAGATGCCAAAAAAAACCAAAAGATCTGTAGGCTGAAACCTCAAACCCCATATTTCCACTGGAAGCCCAAAAGGTTCCCAAAAAAGCCCAAAAGATCTGTACCTGCAAACCCTAAACCCTCCACTGTGAGCCCAAAAGATCTTGCCCCTAAACCAACCAAAAAAACAGAGGAAAACAGTAGACAGCGTGGTCAAGCGTGCACAAAGCCCAGCACGACCCCCATGTGTGCACAAAGCACAGCACGTAATTACCCCCCCACCCCCCCAACCCCTCAGCATGGTCATGTGTGCACAAAGCACAGCACGTAATTACCCCCCCCCCACCCACCCCCCCCACCCCCCCCAACCCGTCAAACGCAGAAAAAACCAGAGAAAACGATAGAAAAAGTCAAAAAACAGCAGAAAACACCATGATCAGTTAAGAGCGTGTCACCTCCTACTACTACTACTACTACTACTACTACTACTACTACTACTAAAAATGATATATCGCCAAAGTGCAACACTATGAAATTGAGGGCGCAGCCCCAGCATGGGAACTTTGTGTTGGCAAATGGGGGGGGTTACGCCTCCTCCCGACTCTCCACTTTTTCGCGTAACTATGAAAATATTTGCGGCTGGGGGGGGGGGCGGCTGCGTCCCCAGCCCCCCACCCCCCACCTGGCACTTCATTGACAAAACGAGTGCCTCAACATGCCGAACAACGGATGCTGAAATGGACCCATTTGCTCCCGACGAAAGCTCACTTTTTGGCTTCGCAGCCGGCTACGGACCCGAAAAGTGGGTTCTACCATCTTCCCTGTTGAGCCCGAAAAAGCGTGCTTGTATCACGCATCTGTTGAGAAACAACCACGCTGAACCGGACTCATTTGCTCCCGACGCTAGTGACCCGTTCGTTTGCCAAAGCTCCCTCCGGCGGTGTGGGGAGGATTGGTAGTAGAGTACTTCGGAAATATTCAAGTAGTCATAAATAGGAGAAATATGAAATGTTTCAAGCAAATATAGCCGGTATAGCCATCCAGGAACTCCTGAACAAGCAGGGCTTGAGGCTGCGCTGCTCCCTGGATGCATGATGGCCTGTGGAGGATGTACGCCCCAAGAAGCTTCTGACTGGGGTCATGAGCTTCCCTCGAACCAAGACCTCCCATAGGGGTTTAGGGTTGAGGGTTTAGGGAGGGGGCGATGCTCTGCTATCAGTGTTCGCCATGTCTCTGAAAGTGCACCCCCCTGCAAGGTAGCCACTTTCGGCCAAGCGCATGCCATGGACGAGTGCCTTGTGCTTCTCGGCTTCGCAGATCTGGCTCCCAATGAATGCCATGCCAAGCGCATGACCTGGCGGTTTACGAAAATAGGGGACCCCCCGAAAATAGTAGACCACCAAATAGCAAGATTCCCTTGCAAAAAGGACCCAAAAGGTGCCTCCTAAACCCCCATAAACCCCAAACCCTAAACCCTAAATCCTAAACCCCAAACCCTAAACCCTAAACCCTAAACCCTAAACCCTAAACCCTAAACCCTAAACCCTAAACCCTAAACCCTCAGATCGCCCGAAAAGGAGTGAAGGGTTGTTAAAAAAAAAACCCTCAGATTCTTCTGCCCAGTGCTTCACTGGCGCAGGTGATCTTCTGCCATGGAAGCAGCTCCTGCCGGGTCGATGCCTTCCAAGTTATGCCATGGCTCTTCGAGCAACTTTGCGCGAAGCGGAATATGAGATTCTCGGATTTCCTCCCGCCTTCTGATCAAGGACCCTAAACCCTAAACCCTAGACCCTAAACCCTAAACCCTCAAGCCAATGTGTAAACTTGAACTTATTCCTTCCTCTTCTTGGAAGCCTGGTGCGGTGCAAAGTTGCCGGCTTCTTTTTGTTGAGTTGTCGTCAGTCCCTTTGTGACCTCGTAGGCGAGGAGGTTCAAGTACATCGAACAAAGAAGACTGCAAGGAGGTTTAAGAAAATTGAACATTTCAGCACTTTTCAAAGCCACCCGGTGCGCCTTCTGAAGCCAATTTTGGGCCTTCTGAAGCCAATTTGTGCCTGAAACCAATTTTTACCTTCTGAAGCTATGTGAAGCCAATTTGTGCCTCTATTTGGCCTTTTTTCTGAAGCCAATTTTGGGCCTCATGAAGCCAATTTGTGCTTCTGAAGCCAATTTGGGCCTTCTGAAGCCAAGTTTAGGCCTTCTCAAGCCAATTTTGGCTGTGAAGCCAATTTGGGCCTTCTGAGGCCACGTTTAGGCCTTCTGAAGTCAATTTAGAATTATGGCCTTCTGAAACCAATTTTGGCCTTCTGAAGCAAATTTTGTCAATTGGGCCTCAGAGGCGAATTTTGGCCTTCTGAAGCCAGTTTTGGGCCTTCTCAAGCCAATGTTAACCTCCTGAGGCCAATTTTGGCCTTCCGGCCTTCTGAAGCCAACTCTGAAGCCAATTTTGGCCTTCCGAAGCCAATTTTAGGCCTTCTCAAGCCAATTTTGGCCTCGAAGCCAATTTGACCCTTCTGAGGCCAATTTTGGCCTGAAGCCTTTTTTGGCCTTCTGAAGCCAATTTTGGGTTTGTGAAGCCAATTTGGGCCTTCTGGGGCCACGTTTAGGCCTTTTGGCCTTCTGAAGCCAATTTTGGCAATTTGGGCCTGAAGCCAATTTTGGCCTTCTGAAGCCATCTGAAGCCAATTTGGGCCTCTGAAGTTTGGCAAAAATCTAAAACAGAAACTCCTCGAAACTTCCCCAGACCTGAACCCTTAATAAGCTCAATAAACCCTAAACCCTAAACCCTAAACCCCCTGTGTGATAGTCTTGCTTAGTAGTCGCTGCATCGGTTCTCAAAGGTACGGGCTCACTGTCTTCGCTTTCGACTTCGCGGGGTCTGGGCAGTCAGACGGCGAGTACGTAACCTTGGGCTACCACGTACCGGCCTTAAGTGTTCGCAGCCGTCTGGGCCTGTGACTTGCAGCATGTACATGTGCCATACCCTATCTCCGAATATTGCAATCTAGAAGCCCATGTGATATCCCCAACGGCAGACTGCTTAAATGTTTTGCATTGGTGTGTTTCTGTCATCCGGACCTTGCCTTGAGATGCATCCGAACGACTTTTCAAGGCAAGCTATTCGAGATGTTCTAAGCACTGTTTTTTTACTTGTCGGTGTTTCTCATCCGTTTTCGCTCGGGGCAGCAGTAGCAGCAGCTAGCAGACAAGCTCCATTCTCAGATGCCTGCAAATTTCCGCAACCCGGAAATGGCTTCGGGAACCCCCCCCAGGACACGCCCAAGAACCCGGCCCAATCTGCCCCTGCCTATATAGATTGGGCGGAAGACCCCGAAGCTCAGGCTGATGGGGAATTATGTTCCCCTGTATTCCTAAACCCCAAACCCAAAACCCTAAACCCCAAACCCCAAACCCTAAACCCTAAACCCTTTAAACCCTAAAGTATCAGGTTTAGTGGGGGATCCCCCGGGTCTACAGGAGGAGGATGACCTCCGTGTCGTCATCGACTACCTCGTCAGCACGGGCCAGGTTTCCAGCATCGGGTTGCGCCTCGTCCAAGTAGGCTTTCAGGTCCACAATGGGGGGTTAATAATGATAATAATGATAATGATAGATTTAATAATTGTAATGGCAACAATAATAATGACAATCCGAACAATAGTAGCACTCATATTTCTAGGGTTTCTGATGGAGAAGAGTCTGGGTTGAAGGTCCAGAGTTTACTTAGGGCTTAGGCTTTAAGTAGATGCGGAATTGAAGATGGCTGACGAGGAAGGAGACGCCGCAGCGCAACGAAGAGATACTGAGAGTCAGTCTACTCCGTACGTGACGACTCCAACTTATGAATCTGTGACCCTAAACCCCTAAACCCTAGATGAATCTGTGACCCTAAACCCCTAAACCCTAAACCCTGTGTGCCTCGTCTGGCATGTCCGAGTGCGCGCTGAAGCCTTCGTTCAGCCACTCTAAGGTGGGGAAAGTCTATGGGGGCTGTGGCTTCCCTCCTGCGCACTGCAAGGGATCGCAGAGTGGACGCGTGCGTGCTGGACATGGGGGCTTAGGGTTTGGGGTTTAGGGTTTAGGGTTTAGGGTTTGGGCTTTAGGGTTTATAGGTTTAGGGTTTAGGGTGTTTGCTTCGTCTCACCTTGCCAGCCCCTGGGGCCCGGCATGTTTTGTTCAGTGCAAAAACCATCTCTCCGGCGAGGACTCCCCTTTTGCAGACTTCCTAAGCGTCGTCCACGACTATTGCAACGAGACGCCTCTTGGGCTCTGGAGATTTCTGGGGTCTAAAGCATCTCGCTGCCCACAGCTCACAATGACGCCGTAGATGCACGTACTTGGCGGCAGCTTACGTACCATCTATGAGCTGCCTCTGTTGCCTTCCTTGCGATGTTCATCCCGACACATAGCTGTGATCTGCAGCTGAGCGCCTATCAACGAACACATTCTAAACCCTAAACCCTAAACCCTAAACCCTAAACCCTAAACCCTAAATCAGACTCTGAGCCCTATGCGGTGGTGACTTGACGGGGGCTTTGGTGCTACTCAGTGTGCTGAGAAGCTTCGATCCTTGACTTGTCCAAGTGCCGAGAAAAACGCACTGGCGCACTGATATACGACAATACAAAATATTGGAACATAACATAACACTAGAACACTAGAACGCGATACTAATACGACAATGTACCAATATAGCAATTCAACAGCACAATATGGCAAATTAGGAAGATATAGCAAGATGTAACAAGATAAAACAATCTATAACAATATATGAGAACGAAAAAGTTGTGTGACATGATCAGGTAATGTTAGTAGAAGATCAGAATATCATAATAAAGCCAGGTCTGCATTGCAGTGGGTCCCCGGCACGCTGGTGGACTTCTTCCTGGCACGGGTCAGTCAGGCGGTGGAGGAGCGCGCCACTTTGGCCAAAGTGATTTCTGCCAAGCAAAATCATGCTCAGCTTGCCCTTTGTTGTGCAGTGCAGCTACTCAACTGGTCTGCCGGGTGACAAATCTTCACCTCGCTAGCACCATCATTCGATAAGGCTCTCTCGAACTCGCTCAGGCTGTACTCCATCTCCCTGTCTCTCGTTCGCTGTTTGTTTGCTTACGCCTGTGCATGTGCATGGGAAGTGTCGCCAGAGCACGCACCCAGGTGGGCCTTGACCCGCGTCGCATGCAGCCTATAGAGGTGGCGCCACAGTGCCACTGCCCCTGGGAACTCGAGTTAGAAAGAAATAGAAGAGGTCGCAGTGGGAACTGAGGCATGGCAAGCCCGAAGATTTTCATGCAAGTTTCCTGCAACTGAGGAAAGCTTCTGTAAGGCACTGCAAGGGTAGTTACTATAACGATCTGGGAGTGCTATTCCTTGCAGTGGACGCAGAGGATGCACCAGAGGCACATGACAAGACAGCCTTCTGTGTACCGTGCTACTCCATAAGTTCCTGTTCCTATACAGCTGAGCCTCAAGCTTCGCAATTCTCATTGGCTTCCTCCTATCATTTGCGAACCAACGAAACTTATAGCCATTTATAGCCCAACTGCCGGAAGTAGAGCCGTCGTGACGGAAGGTCCCGCATTCTTCATCGCGGGCGACAGCGACCGCGTGGTGCGGCCACAGCAGGTTCGATCCCTTCACCAGGCACCCAGGGCCGAAGTCATCATGGCGATTCAACATCTGGGTTCCAACAGCAACGGCTATTCCACAGCTCAGTCAAGAGCACGGCACAGTATAATGCTCTACTATTCGAGGACTCCTTGAGATTGCATTGGCAAAATCCAGGGCTCACTGGAACCCTCGGTAGGCCTGGGGTGGCGAGAGCCAGTTCGTACTCTTCACGGGCGGCCACAACACCGACCGGCGCCTGGGCGGAGGTTTTTATAGGATTTGCAGGACCAGCTCAAGATGCTTCCTTTTTAGATTGTCGTACTTGTCCGTGCTGCAGGGTGTCAGTTGAAAACCCAGGGTCCTGCTTCTCCCAACTGCTTAAGGCCGCCGGCTGTGCTGGAACAAGCTGCCCGCTTCATGTGGGACCCTCCCGCCGCTGCTTTGTGTTGACCGCATTCTGGGCAGATTTCGCAGAGGCTGAATCGAAAGGCATGTCGGGGTATAAGCAAGCCTTGAAGCTTGACATGTTGCCGAAAGGAGCATTGAGATCGGATCTCTAGAGTCCTTGCACGTTCAACGGTTTCCGCACCTTGCGATGTGGAAGGATTCCCTGCAGCACGCGGCCGCAGCTGATGCCCTCGTCTGCGGGGCCGTCGATGCCTTCCTGGCCCCTGACTGAGCATGCAAGGTGATGTCGCTGTCATGTTCGCGCCACTGCTTGATGTGTGATCGAGGTAGGGGTGCCGGAATTCCCCTCCCCTTTGATGCACCAAAGTCACGAAAGCGCCACAAGTTCGCGAAACCCAAGCTGCAAAGTCCTTGTCCTCAAATAGCTGAGGACAAGCCTCGGCTAAGTGAGTTCGGGATGAGCCTCCCGGGGCAGGCTGGGAATCTTCCCAAGACAACGCCAACTGCTAAGCATGCCTTTACTCAGGTACTACTCTTTGGCTGGTGCTTGCGGCATTCCTGTCACTTACGATACGTCCATTCAATCGTCGTCTGTGCTCCTTCCACAGCCTCGACTTCTCCCTTTTTGTTCATATGGAGCCGAAGCTAACAGCTGATTCGTTGTAGAGCCAGCAAAAAACATGGCGCGCACTGCATGTTGCGCGTGTTGGATGCGAAATTCTGTTTGCAGATGCCATGGACTGGTGACTATAGGTCTTTCTTTCATATGCTGATGCCTCTTATGCGGCTACTGCAACTCTTGCGGCCAGGAAGAGGACATGCTGGCTGCAGCAATCGAACAATACGTGGAGCAACGACTTTTGGCCACCAAGCAGAGTCACGACACGGACTGCTATGTGCCTGCCAGTGTGTGGTCTAGTATATTCTTGTCGCCTCACTAGCTTCTTGCGGTGTCAAAGAGCTGCTTTCCAGAGCCAAGGGCAGTGCTTAGATCGGGCCATTGACCACTTCCTCCTTGGAGGCAGTACTGAAATGCCAGTTGCGAGCTGCCCCTGTCCAGGAAGCCTTCAAACCATGTTGCAGAAGGGTTTTCCAGCATACTGTTGAAGGGGTCGAAGGGGCCTGGCATCAGAACCTCTTTGGGATATTAGATCCGAGAGATTTCGGAGCCTCCGTCTCAGGGGGCAAAGTAGGTGGAGCAACCTTTCACGCAGGTGGTGCGCCCCCCAGCACGACGCCGGCTTGGCGGCATTTGACGCAAAGCCACATCGTGCAGGACCTTCCCTAAACCCTAGCCCTAAACCCTAAACTCTAAACCCTAAACCCTAAACCCCTTGCGCCGTAGGGGCTGAGAAGGAAGTTCGGAAAGTCGGCCTAGCCATGCTGTGGACATTGCATATGCGTAGATGCGAAATGATGTGACGAAAAGCGCTTCTCGTGCTACAACCTCACCACATGAACGGTTTAGGGTTTAGGGTCCAGGGTTTAGGGTTTAGGGTTTAGGGTTTAGGGCGCCTGAGAGATAACACTTAATCCTCATGAACTCTCAGTTTTGCATGTTCTGCTGCATGCGCCACACGCACCGTGGAGTCACGAACCATGTGAGCCCCTGAGTTGCAGGCCATGCCTGTGACTTCCAAGATGGGCAAGCCGGCTGTTTCCGGAGATGGCGACAGTGAGCTTTTCTCTGTTTGATCGGCATCAGCATGGAGTGAGGGCAGAAGTCAGGCAAGCTAAAAAGTCGTGCAGGATAGCAGAGAGCCATCACAGGCGTGAAAAATCATGCTCAGGCTCTCACCCCCACAGCCTTGACGGGCTCGAAACCGAGTGTCAGATGGGCAGTAGGCACAGCCTTGAACTCTAAAGGCTGTATCGCGCAACCCAGGTTCCAGGGCATCTGACCTGACTTTTTTCAGAGCATCGTGTGCTGTGAGATAGCTTCATGGAAGCTGCAGCAAATTGTGAGGTGCGAAGCCTCCCCGGAACCTTGCTGCAACCAGCATGTGTATCCCACTCATGCCCCACGGCCCATAACTAGCCCCGTGGGTCATGGAGAGAGCAGACCTGCAAGAACTATGCGCTTCTACTTCTGATGTTGGTCGAGACTGTGTGATTACCCACGAGCTTTATTGATCGAAGCTGGCTTGTGTCACGTTCAATTGGAGCTTGGTCTGCGGATTCGAGTTAATGGCAATAGGCTTGCGAGCAACAAGTGCTTTGCTTTGCGTTGCGCAATCGCGCCTGCATGGCCTCGACGGCGACAGCCGTAGATGAAAAGTGATGTCCGCTCCTTACATAGCCCTCTTAAAGGCACCCCCAAAAACGGGTACCCCTATTTTCGGAAACCCCCACCGCACCTGCTGGTCTGCGACAGTCCTGCTTGACCAGACGGAACGGTGCCGAGGGGCTCTCGGACTTGAGTTGGTCACAGCTGAAATCTGAAGCAAGACCCCAAACCTTCCAAGCACTTTGTTTGTGAGCTCTGCAGAATCAAGGGATCATGAGGGGGTTTTCTTTTCCGATGCAGGCGGCGGCGCGGATGTGGGTGAGCTGCAGCTCCCATTCCCCACAGCCGAGGTGGGTTCCTGTCGACTGCCGTCTGAGAACCAGCGTTGTGGAGACACTGTCCCTGGCCTAGCCTGCATTTCCTAGGTAGGATAAGGGGGACCCTTAAAAGGGAACCCCTTCTCAACCCTCTTCTGGCTCTCTTAAACAGGGACCTTATTCAGAGGGTCTATATCCCCAAGGGTCCCCCTAATCCTATCCCCTAGCATTGGCAGGGGGTGAAAGACAAGAAGCGGAAGAAGGACAAGAAGGAGAAGAAGCAAGGGCCCGAGAAAGTGCGACAGAGGCGCCCAGAGGCCAGTCCATTTAGTATAAAATAGTCGTATACTAAGATAGGAGTATAGAAATACAATAGTATACTAACATAATGATAGAACAATATAATTAGTATAGGAATCAAAAGGTAATAGTATAGCAATATATATATATATGTATATGTATAGATATAGATATACATACATACATAGATATATAAATATAAATAAGTAAATAGATAAATAAATAAATACAAATAAAAAAAACATATATATATATATGTATTTGTTTTTGTAAATTATGGCACGTAGAATGAGGTCAAGTCGGAAGACTGAGATGGCCGATCCCTGGAGCGCTGACAGCTGCCAGGCTGCAAAGCCACGGAGTGCCTCCCTCGAAAAGCCCTCGGAGGGTTTTGTTTTGGGGCTTAGGGTTTAGGGTTTGGGGTTTAGGGTTAGGGTTTAGGGTTTAGGGTTTAGGGTTTAGGGTTTAGGGTAAGAGTTTCCTGACGTGCAATGGTTCAGGGTTGCTCAGGGTTTAGGGTTTAGGGCCAGGTTTTAGGGTTTAGGTTTAAGCAGTTTAGGGCGTTGGGTTTGGGGGTTTGCGGCAAGAGTTGCCTCATGTGCAATGACAGCATTGGAGAAGTCATTGGAGAAGTCAGAAGAAGTCGAGTTTGCTATGGCGCCCTGGTATTCTTGATCTTTTCATCTCGCTATCGGACCGTCAGAGCAAATAGCAACCTTTCTCTCAGCCTCGCTTTGTTTCTCAACAATCACGGCTCGCTATCGGGTTGCGAGCGTGCGCAGCCTGCCCAACCTTGCCTACACGCCCTGAAATCCAAGCCAATCGCCCTTCACCTCGTCTTCCGCCACTTTTCTTAACAAGGCAGTCTCTAACACAGCTCGGCGCAGAATCCAGACATGCAGTTGCGCTAACGTCTGGAAATGCAATACCCACGTGACTGATGCGGTGGCCCCTTTCTCATCACCGCGTGCGTAAGCCCAAAGACGTGCTCCTCTAAGGTGGCCCAGGACCGGTGGCGGCAGAGGACCCTAAACCCTAAACCCTAAACCCTAAACCCTAAACCCTAAACCCTAAACCCTAAACCCTAAATCCTAAACCCAGAGGAGCCAGAGGAGGGCCAGAAGATCGAAGCACTCAAGGACCCGCTGAGTTCCAGCACAGACTCTCTCTTTTCAAGTGGCATCTTGTGCATCCTGCGCCTCGTTGCACCTTATTGCGTAAGAGGTGTAGCACCTCTAGACCCTAAACCCTAAACCCTAAACCCTAAACCCTAAACCCTAAACCCTAAACCCTAAACCCTAAACTAGAGCTAAAAGAGCCCAAAGCCTTTCCATTCCAGGCCATGGGCTTTGAAGAAGCGCGGATCCGCGGCCCGGCTGTCTGCCAGAGAGGTAGAATAATGCAGTAGAGTTCAGAAACATTATGACAGAAAAATAATGCAAAGAAACAAGAACACGATATTCTAGCAGACTGTAAAGATTATACAAGAAGATCAAGGATTTTTGTGTTTCGGTCGTGGCAAACGTTTCTGGCTCCATTCCGAGCAAAATCTCGGTCGCAGAGAGCTGAGCTGAAGTCACTAGGCATGATGATGCCGTGGCTTTGCAGGGGTGCAGCACAATCACCGGCTCTTGCAAGTCTGACAGAAGTCCAACAACAAAACAAGACCCAGAGTCCCCGAGTAGCTAAACCCTAAACCCTAAACCCTAAACCCTAAACCCTAAACCCTAAACCCCAGACTGAGGACAGGTCCTGGATGCCGTGGGCGGCAGTGTGGAGAAAGCTGTGCCCGTGCTTTTGGCAGATGAGCCCTCAGCTTAAGGCTGCGATGGCCATCTGAGCTTTGACAGGCTCGATTCGTCGTGTCTGAGGAGGGTTTAGGGTTTAGGGTTTAGGGTTTGGTTTAGGGTTTGGGGTTGAGGGTTTGAGGTGACAGGGTTTAGGGGGCAGTTCATGACCACTTGTCTTCTCAACGGGAACCTGCTTCCAGGAGTACCGAGTACTCTCCTCTGCCTCCGCCACAAGATGTCGCTCGATGCCCGGTGTGCAAAGTATACACCGGGCATCGAGGACCAGATCATGCGGAGTGACGTGGTTCCATCCTCATGTCCCTGATTTCGCACTTCCCCCCCAGAGAAGCCCTCTGCATCTCAATAAGATGTCGGGAGCGCATGTCATTCTATGGGATCGCACTGTTGGGCCGGAAGGGCCGGGTTTGCCGGGTTTGAGTGGGTATGAGAAGGAAGTTTCTCTTGTTATATAATGAACATAGTGGATGTTAGGAAGTTCGTCTTTGAGTTGATAGGTGCCGCTGTAGCAATAGCCTGCTGCACATATATGGCTGCTTTAAACCGAGGACTCTGCATTTTCTGGTCGGAATCTAGTTTCAAGATCCGCTTGAAGGTAGGCTGCTGCGACAGGTGGCTGGAGCAGGTGCCCAACGATGCATGAAAACATTAGCAAAAAACCAGAATTGAACATCCGATTGGCGGACATCCGCCTGCCTGGCGGGGTGCCATAAGTAGCAGCGAACGCAGGCTTGACCCTGACGTAGATGCCAGACAATCCATGCTTCAGGATGCTAGCGCTTAGTGCATCGATTCGTCAAGTAAATGCGAATACGTATGGCAGGAGGAAGCACGGTGTAAGACTGAAAGCGGCGCCTGGTGGCCGTCCAAGTAGGGTTTCATCCTATTTTGTGTGCATGCTCCCTCTCCTGAACTTAATGTATAGGCAAGTTGTTCCCGGGCTGGCTTTCATCTCTTGGGAATCCGAAGCTCAACCTGGTACTAGAATCCATTGCCAGGTTGTTTCTCTTTGGCAGGGCTTGCAACTCGTACAACGGGTGGTTCATAAGTCGGGTATCTGCAGGGAGCCTTGCTGAAATGCAAGCTGATCACAAAGCAACTTGAAGGAGGGCTGACTGTGCTCCAACACCTGCATCTGCTAAGAAAGCTGCATTACCTCCAACGTCTCACAATTGGGCTCGCTTGAGGTGCGACAGGAAAGTGGAGCGCTGCATGCTCTTGATATCTCCAGATGTGAGCGATTTCTAAGCAGCCTTTGCCTCCATATGATGAACAGTGAGAAGCAGAGGCTTCTTGTGAGTGATAGCTCATCAGTCAGCGGCACATTACTAGTTGCCATCCCACGAAGTTCTCCGTCAGGGGTCGAACAAGACAGCCGCCTCCAGCTACGCAGTGCGATCCTCTGAATCTTGAGTGCTGGGCTGGCCTGGGTTGAACAAACCGAAGGAGCACCGTCCACTTGTGAGCATCCCTAAACCCTAAACCCTAAACCCGAAACCCCAAACCCGAAACCCTAAACCCTACTGAAGCTGCTCTTTGTGCATTGTGCCGCTCAGGGGGACCTCCTTTGGATGAATGGATATCGGCTGCGACGACTCCTCGCCTGGCTCGCCTGGCCCCTACGCCACTGTCTGCGCTTGCAACAATCAGGCATGATCAGCCCTCCTCCCCTGAGTTGGTGTAGGATTTAGGGTTTGGGGTTTAGGGTTTAGGGTTTAGGGTTTAACCAGGGCTTAGAGCAGCGACTTCTCGTGATCGGGTAGAGCGGCCCAAGAGCTGAGGTCGTTGACAACGGCGTGTAGTGAAGTGGCCGCAGCAAGCCCAAACGTTGGCAGCTGTTGAAGGTCCACAAGCTTGCTTGTTTTAGGGTTTAGGGTTTAGGGTTTAGGGTTTAGGGTTTAGGGTTTAGGGTTTAGGGAAGCTTGCTTGTTAATGGCTTTGTATGGTTCAGGCTTCGAAGTTTGGGCGGGCCGAAAGGCCGCTGAAGGATTGGCGTCCTCTGGAGCATGTCTGAATCCATGACACCTTGGTTGCCTTATTTCTTTGGGGACCTTCCCTTCACGTCTCACCTACAGCTTTCAGAAAGCCCATAAGTGGCTTAGACCGGACAGATGTTACAAGCACCTGTGTTCCGGGAGGCAAAGCCGTGCCCATGACGGGGGACCGGAGAAGACCGAAGATGCCAAAATCAGTTTTGAAATCACCGACTCCAACCCTAAACCCTAAACCCTAAACCCTAAACCCTATAGCCCTAAACCCTAAACCTCAAAAGCATGTTCTTCTGTTTCCATCCATATGCCGGTCCTTGAAGTAGGCATTGACTGGCACGGCGAGGAAAACCGACCGGCAGATGGGGGAGCACCGTGAGTCGCGCAATCGTGCCATGATCTCTGGGAGGATATGGGATTTACGAAAATAGGGGACCTTAAAATAGACCCCAAATACTAGGGTCCCTTAGAATGAGGACCCCCAAAAGGTACCCCAATTTTTCGACATTTCGGAAACCACCATAGTGTCCACTGATCCCACCACTCCTGGCACCAGGTGTTTCGGTTTAGCAGTGGCAGACCCGAGCTCCACCAGTTCCTCAAGTTCACATGCCAGCATTCCCGCCTGACGACTGAGGGCGCCGATACGAAGTTCCGCAAACAGCCGAATTGTAGGCGCCACAAGAATCCACGGGTAGCCAGCCATGGACGACACCGTGACCAAAGCCCCGGACGTCTCTGTCCTGGCGGATGGTCTCGCCGTCTCACATTATGTGGAAGCACTGGAGGCTGGATTTCGTGAAGCACACGTGGTGTTTTCCTTGGAGTTCTGGGCGTGGAGCCAAGCCCTGCAGGCGCGGACTCCGCGAAGCCCCCGCAAGACTGGGTCGCAGGTGCTGCAGACTCCAGCATTGGGCGTTGGTCTATCGGTACGACTATACAAGCTTCCTAAACAGGAAACTTTTGTCAAGGTGGAGTGTGCAAGAAGCGAATCCAAACCCTCAGCAGTTTGCCTTTGAAGCTTTGGCTTTGGCGGCACCTTGCTTGGACTCCGAACCTGCACACGTGTTACACTGTTCGGAGGCTCGAAGCCATGGCTTCGTGACCTAAGCCCTCAACCCGAAACCCTAAAACCGGGGGCAAAGCACGAAGATGTCAGACCCGAGTTATCAAGCTTTCATAAAAGTGGGAGGCTCCCAGAGAGGTGGCCGCAGGCGTCCAGCCTGGTGGGGAAGCTCAGGCTCGTGGCACCCTGTCACAGAACGGCCAGCATTGGGATGTTGCTCATACATGATCTTACTATACGGTTTAGGGTTTAGGGTTTAGGGTTTAGGTTTTAGGCTTGGGGTTTCATATATGATTATACGCATCGAACAGGATGCCGCAGCACCGAGCTCTCCGTCGAAGGCGGAGGAGACCGGGTTTTTCTAGAGGCCCAAAAAGGCCCAAAAGGCCCAAGAAGGCCCAAAAGGCCCCTGTCCTTCTGGGGTTTTTGGGGTTTAGGGTTTGGGTTTAGGACCCTCCCCCCCCCCACCCCCCCGGCCCCTGTTGTTTGCAGGAGCCGTGCCAAGATTGGAGCGACATTGAGCTGGATACAGACGTCACTCTGGTTAATTCCCAGGATCATTTCCGTTCATGGGAGTGAGGTGTTCGTTGCTGAGGGGTCTTTGGAGTCAGGAACTTCGCTTTCAGATTTTGTGGAGCCACTACTCAACGCAGTCTTAACAGTGATTTGATTTGCCTTGTTCCCAGATGAATTGACACGACGGCCTTGCCGAGGTGATGCCAGGGCCAACGCTCCCGTGCCCGTCAGCTGACAGGCCAGTGGTGCAGAGAACTTGTGCAGCCCTGCCTCAGTTGCCCGGAGTCGCACCCCTTTTTGGGTGGTTGAGGTCTTGTGATCACTTTCCCCAAGCATCGTGCGTTGATTCATGGGCGCTGGGCAGGACTGACGCGGAGCCGGAAGCCTCGCCGAACGATTTCTGCCGGCTGCTGAGTGCGTGCGTGGGGGGGGGGGGGGGGGGTAATGAACCCTCGAGTCGAGTCATCCCATTGCGGACACCATTTGGGTAGACACATGTAGACTTTAGACATCGCTCCTTGCATGTCCTCCCCTTTTTTTCTGGGTCCCCGACGAGCCTACGACCAAATCAGTGTCCGTGCTCTGGCCGCTTCAACCGATTCTTAAATAAGCTGCCCTGCAAGTCTGGCGCCCATGTGCACGCACAGCAAGTATCGAGCCGAACGTAGGATGCAATGGTTTTTGGTGGGGCTTCATGTGGTCTTCGGGAGAAGGGCGGTGTGAAGGTATCGTCGCGCTTTGTGGCATGCTAGGCCCCCCTACACTGCCGTACCTTCCAGGTCTGAGCCCCGTGGCCGGCACGGGCGGCTACGCCTCTGCCGCAGGCCTCCTGCGTTTGCCCCAAACCCTAAACCCTAAACCCTAAACCCTAAACCCTCAGCCACTCCTAGTCCAGGATCATCTGCACCCGATGTTGAAGGCTCTCAGCCTCCGGCGCAAGGACGGCTGACCTTGTGTTAGGGTATTGCTGACACGCCCAGGCCTGATGAACACCCTCCACTCCGTGGCCAGCGCCGCCTCGGAGCTGAGCCCCGTGGCCTGGTCCAGACGAGGCCGGGTCCGGGAATTTTGCTATGGAAAGGACTTATGAAAGTACTATGAAAGTACCATGAAAGTACTATGAAAGCACTATGAAAGTGCTATGAAAGTACCATCAAAGTACCATGAAAGTACTATGAAAGTGCCATGGAGCAGTGTGGATGTTCTCTTGGATTCCAGACTCCTCTCGTCTCCCCTAAACCCTAACCTAACCCTAAACCCTAAACCCCAAACCCCAAACCCTAAACCCTAAACCCTAAACCCTAAACCCTAAACCCTAAACCCTAAACCCTAAACCCTAAACCCTAAACCCTAAACCCTAAACCCTAAACCCTAAACCCTAAAACCCTAAACCCTAAACCCTAAACCCCAAACCCGAAACCGAAACGAACCCGAAACCCAAACCCAAAACCCTAAACCCTAAACCCTAAACCTAAACCCTAAACCCTAAACCCGAAACCCGAAACCCGAACCCGCACCCGAAAACCCCCTAAACCCTAAAACCCTAAACCTAAACCCTAAGCCCTAAGCCCTAAGCCCTAAGCCCTAAGCCCTAAGCCCTAAGCCCTAAGCCCTAAGCCCTAAGCCCTAAGCCTAAGCCCCCTAAGCCCTAAGCCCTAAGCCCTAAGCCCTAAGCCCTAAGCCCTAAACCCTAAACCCTAAACCCTAAACCCTAAACCCTACACCCTACACCCTACACCCTACACCCTAAACCCTAAACCCTAAACCCTAAACCCTAGCCAAGAAGGTGACGAGTTCCAGTTCAGCCCAGTGGTGGTCGAGAGCCTTGCAGGCCCGAGTACAAGTTGCCCCCCCAAATGGCAGCTCCCAGACCTTAGGGTTTAGGGTTTCGGGTTTCGGGTTGGGGTTGAGGGTTTAGGGTTTAGGGTTTCGGGTTTAGGGTTAGGGTTTCGGGCTTAGGGTTTTGTGTTTAGGGTTTAGGGTTTAGTGTTTAGGGTTTAGGGTTAAGACCCCTCGACTTCGGAGCGACAACCGTCGGCTGGCAGAGGGTCAACAGTGGCAACACGAAACACGTCCTTGGGCTGCTGCGCTTCCTTAAGGTGCAACGCAGGTCTTTCCCAGAAAAGGGGGATACCCCCTTTTATGACCCAAATAGAATAGAATCCCTTAAAGGGGCCCCCAAAAGGGTACCCCCATTCGCGGGGCATGGCGACGGAGTCCCAGACAGGCGAAGCTTCGGACACCTGCCTTGCCAGCCTCGTGCGAGCGTGAGCGTTGAAAACCTTTCGCCCTAAAAACCTCCCAAAACCCCAAACCCTAAACCCCCAACCCCCAAACCCTAGACCCCAAACCCTATAAACCTAAGCCATTCTCGAAGGTGGTGGGGAGACCATGCCTTTCAGCGAAGCGGTCGACGAAGCGTCCGCGCATCCCTCGCGGCTGCCATGGCCCTGGCAGGTTCGACATTCTTATGACCGGATACCTTTATTTGCAGTAGTATCCAGGTTCTTAAGCATCTACTTGGCAGAGTCCCTGAAAAGGGTTCTATGTGGGATGCAAGGTACCTCATTCCTTGATTCCCTACTCAGACGTCTACGCTTTATCATTATCAGATTGAATATGTCCGAAACCGGGGCGCTTCTTGAAGTTTGAAAGTTTTGACTTGGCTTGAGAGCTATGCTTGAGGAAGCGCCAGCGTGCAGAGTATTTGTAGGAGTGCCTCATCGGGATATGATACGAATATCCCCTAAGCCCTAAACCCTAAACCCTTTTTCCTCATCTTGTCGGGATCTATGTGGTGGTGATGTTTGCGTGTGCTTTTACTGAATACTTAGGCAATGGCATCACCAATTCATGCGAGCGCATGTCGCTTTGCAAGCGCAGTGGTGTGATACGACTGTTTCAGCGAATCGTGTGAAGCTCTGGCGCCTGCGGTCCTGAGGTTTGTTCGTTTTGGTACTGTTGATCTTCGGTTGTGTGGTTGAATGTTGTTTTGGGGTGTAGATCTGAGGACCTGTTTCCGTCTGTTTGGAAAGTTTCCAGCAGATGCACTCAAAATCTCCCCTGGAGAGCAGCGTTCTCTCTGCTGGGCTTTTCAGGGGGTTGAGATTTTGTGGGGGGGTTGTGTGGTGACAAGGGGTGCTTTCGTATGATGGCGCTTGCTCGCCCGTACTTGTTTTAAGACCTTTTCTCTGGAATGTTTGGGTTGTTGTTTGGTTTGATTGGAGGTGGCTGTGTGAAAAACATGCCGTGTGGTTCTGCCAGCTATGCGGGAGCGCAAAATAGACAACCCGTAAACCCAAGAATCATTTGCAATCCTCAGCATGCATAGAGTGTCCCACTGTGATGCCACTCGCCATGCCACCCTAAACCCTAAACCCTAATTTGCATCCGAACTTTGGCCATTGTAACGTCTGACCTTTTCCCCGTAAACGCTTGCGACACGGGTGGGTAAAAAACTCTAAACCCTAAACCCTAAACCCTAAACCCTAAACCCTAAACCCTAAACCCTAAACCCTAAACCCTAAACCCTAAACCCTAAACCCTAAACCCTAAACCCTAAACCCAAACCCTAAACCCTAAACCCTAAACCCTACCCCCCTAAGCCGTGCCAAGGCACGCCTTGACGCCTTCCCACGTCCAGACGGGCGCCGTTTCCCAGGCAGAAGGGTCTTGTTATCAAGAGCCGATTCAGGAGCAGATGTTGGCTTGTACATCTTGTAGATTATATATATAATATATATATATGGAACTATATGTCATGATGTTGAAATATATTCATATACATAATCTATATATATATATATATTGTAACATAATAATCTGCATCTTAGTATATTGTACTACGGGAGCTGATATGCGGCTGATGGAAGATGCAACTTTTCATCTGCTCCTTTGGCTTTTGGGGAGTCGTGCCGGACCGTGCTCCTAGTCAAGAAAGGCCACCTGATGCCGAGCACGGCCGGTGTACTTGCACCCTCAATTCCCGAAAAAACCAGTGGGACTAGTTAAAAGCAGTGGCCCTCAAGAAGGCCCCCTCTGGTACATTTGCCTGAGCATCTCTTGAGTCATGTCTTGCAGTATACAGTTTTGTCCCCGCACCGCCCTCAGAAGTAGGCGTGAGTGAGGTCTTGTTTCCATTCGCAATGTGTGTCTTCTCGCATCGCCCTCAGAAGTAGGTGTGAGGCGTCTCTTTTCGTGACAGGGGTACAGTACTCTCTGCACGTGACCCTTGACGGTTGCTGGAGTCACTTCCCACTCAGTGGGAACCTTATACTACATTATATTACAATATATGATTTAAGCTGCTCATAAGAGCAGGGGCGAAAGGAGGCAGCCTTTCTGGACATGATTGATCTGAAGTGTTGGTAGCACAGAGTGTAGGGTGGCCTCCATCCGCAAGCATGAGCGTCGAACCCCGTAGTCGACTGCACAGTAAGCTAAATTCAACCCAAGAAACTACTCATGCCCCCTTTTGCATCTGCTCCTCACAGGGGCGCCGGGACAACTTTTGCATCTATACATTCTGGAGGCACGTGGATGTGACCACCGCAGCCGTTCAGGCTTTTGGGCCGAGGTTCGAACATGCCAGAGGTCATGTGAATTCTTCGAGCAGCAGCTGAACGCGTTGGTGAACGTAGATATCCGAGTTCATGGGAGGTGAAGATGTTTCCCGCCTTGTACCGTGCGTCGTGGCACTGTGGCCGTGCGATGGACAAAGCAGAGGCCCGCACGCTCGTGGAGCGATGCTTGCCGCGGTTTAAGGATGCAGGACTGGAGCCTTTGGATGGCATCACGGACATCAAGGCTGGCAGTGTGACATTACTTGTGCTCACGGTGTGCGCATGGATCGTGTGGTGCGTCCTGCAGCTCGTGCCACCCCCAAAGCCCCGAGAAGGTGAAAGCCATCGCATCGCTGTGGGCGGGCATGGGCTGCGTCTATGACCTGATGGTGGCCCGATAAAAACGGGTAGAAGCAGTTTTGAGGTCCTGACTTCTTGTGCTGGCAGCACCCCAGCTCCTTGTTTTTCTGAGACTTTGGTCGCAAGAGGTGACTTCCAAACGTGGGGTCCAGCACGTCGTGGCCAAAAGAGTGCAGCTTCCGAAGCGCTGCGACAGTATTGGCGACCAGCGGAAGAAGGACTTTGCGACATGTTTTTTTTGCCGGTACATTCGAGATGACAGATGTCCAGGCCAGAGATTGGAATCTGTAAGACGCTGTAGCATGAATGTAAGCGGGTGCCTGTGATGGCATGGTGCAAGTCATCCGCATGATGATCGCTAGTGGTGATTCTGCTAGGTCATTTTCTTCTTCCTACCAGGACAGCTATGATGTCGAGGCAGCCTTCTACCAGAAGGCCAGAACGTGCCCCCAGTAGTTTTCAAGTCCTGCTTGCCATTGCATACAGGAAAGACCAACCTGTCCCAAAGACTCCGTCTTCTCCAGCGAAGCCGCAGCGAATCTTCCACGGGTTCATCTGTGCTATGTGGCCACAATTTACTACTCTGAAAATCCATTTAGACTACATTTCCACACCTCCAGGGGAGCCCCGGGCTACAAGTGCCCAGTTTGGTCAGGGGCATGCCGAGCGTCTTATCTCAGCCGGCTGCATGGTTCCCTTCCCACTGCACGTGGAGCACTCGCGTGGCGAGGGCGTGACCATCTGCATGACCAAAGTGGAAGGCAGGAGGCGTTTGCCATGCTCGCTGCTAGGATCTTTGTAGCTTATAGCCAGAACCCTAGGCTTCCGGCCTCAAAATGCTGGAGTTTAGGATGTAAACAAGGCATGGGCTGTTAGCAGCTCTAGCAGGCTCCAGCAGCTTTTCAGATTCAAGTTTGCAAGGTTTTTGTGCGCTAGAGGTCCCAAAACGGAAAGGAGGCCGCTAGAACTCCAGGCAAGCCGTCACATCCTCGTGGTGCAGATGCGTTCGTTGCATGGCTTGCACGACTGCACTCGAGTCTTGCCTTAAAAAATTGGACCCCCCCCCCCCCCCCCCCCGGCTCCACATATAGTTTGGCAAATTCAAGCGTCATGTTCCTCCCATCTTTTCATGCAGTCCTGACGACCTGAGTGCACGACGCTATAACTTTTTCAATTCCGCGCCCGCCCGCCCTACCTTATCTTGCACGCAAGGACATATTGGGGATCCAGGGCGGACGAAGCTTGTGGAGACTGGGCTTAGCAGAAGTAGGGATGTCCTAGATATCATGCGGGCTTTGCACTGTTGATGCTCGGTCTAGAGGCTAAGGCAAAGAAAGTGTGTCTGCATGTGAAATTCCTCCGCCCGACCCCTGCCTTCCGTTTTTGTGTCAGTGCTGCAGGGCCAGATGCTGGTGGGTTGCAGCTTCAGGGGCTCTTCGGCAGCATGTGCCAGGATGCTTCCTGATGCAACATGCTGCGGCACCACAGTTAAGCGAACGAAGTTGGTAGCCTTTGCAGGCGTGGCGTGCACCATGTTTACAGCATAGCCCCAGGTGCTACTGGCACCTTGACACGCGGCCGGATGAACACAGGCAGGGCGGGCGGGCGGCTGTGCGAATTTCGCAGACATAGGAGTGAGCATTAAGCTAAACTTTAATTTGCCGCTTCGTTTCTTTTTTCAAAAGTCGATGCTGACTATCAAAACAACCCTAAACCCTAAACCCTAAACCCTAAACCCTAAACCCTAAAAAGCTGCAAGCTGCAAGCTGCATGGAACCGTGCAGGAAGATGCCCTCCTCCGGCTGGATGGGTCGCCTGAAGCTGTGTGCGCGGGCGATTGACCTCAGGCTCAAGGCAGCAACTTGGAGTCGCAGCAATGGATTCGTATAATATAAAGAGAACAGAAAGGGACCCATTGCAGGTCCAATAGAATATGTAAAATATGTGTGTAATAGTTGTTTGTATCAGTTCTTGCGTATTTTATTAAGGTGCCAATGTGTTGAAACTCATCAGGACGTGCATCGGGCGCACGTGGTTAGTCTGCCTTCGCTAGGTTGGGATCTAAACACGGGCTTGTGCTCTTGCATTCAAAAATCATGGAAGATGGACGGGTATCGGGTCTGTCGAAGTCTTGCAGATTGAGTCGGGGTAACTTTCTCGAGCCCGACTTCGTGCGAGAGCAGCTGCTCACCACCCCGTGCCCTAAAACCGTCAAAGTGAAGAAGGCCCAACAAGGAGAGACCCATCAATGTAACAAGCATCATGTCGTCTTTTCCCACGCAGCTTGTGGCCGAGGACCCCATGCAGTCCGCCCCTTTGCGGCAAGGGTTTAGGGTTTAGGGTTTAGGGTTTAGGGTTTAGGGTTTAGGGTTTAGGGTTTAGGGTTTAGGGTTTAGGGTTTAGGGTTTAGGGTTTAAATCAACGGATGAGGCGGCGCAAGGCTGAGAGGACTGCACCAGGTCACTGGGACCAGCTCCCGACTTTCAAGACGGAATGTCTTAGAAGTTCAACCTGATCCTTATAAACCTTAAATCTGAAACCCTAAAACAGAACCCTAACCCTAAACCCTAAACCCTAAACCCTAAACCCTAAACCCTAAGCCCTAAGCCCTAAGCCCTAAAGCCCAACTTGAGAGACTCCAGGTTGGTGTGGCTCTGATTTGCCCAGGTGTGTCATGGCGATGCCAAAGGTGCAAACATCCTCTTTGCCAACGGTGAGGGAGGAACCCTAAACCCTAAACCTTAAACCCTTTTGGTATGTTTGGCTGGGCCTTGCTTGGGGACAGGAAGAAGGGCGGAGAGGACCAGCAATTGAGTTTGCGCAATTCTACCTACACGTCGTCTCTCTGTAAGCTGACCCGCGGTGCCAGGCAAGTACACGGGGCTATCATGTTCTGCTGCAGCGGTTGGGGGGCTCTCTGTGTACAGGAGAGGCGATACCCCTCGTTTATGACTTCCAGTACTGTGGCAAAGCTGCGGCACAGACCTAAGTGATGTTTGCAGAACCGTGGGTTTGCCTCGGCTAGTGACCCTGTTGTGCCCCTTTTCGCTAGGTGACGAAAGATCTGGCCACTCGATGTGCAACACATCTTTGTTTTTGTCGGTGTTCGTTTGTTTCCAGTGCTCAGGTGGGTCAGGTTTTGGCTCACAGAGGGTGTAGGCCCAGGGTAGGCGCACCAGGCACTCGACTGTAACTGAGCTGACAAGGCTTACTTCTTCAACGTGGAAGCATACCCCAATGCAGCAGAAGAAGAGCGACTGCTGCGGCTCTACCACGCGGAGCGGTGTGGGCTCAAGCGGACAATTTCGCCACTGGCCATTATGGGCAGTTCATCATGTCCCAGCCTTTAAGTCCTCAACTTTCCGTGCTCCTCTGTGAGTTGGTGATACTCTGATACTCGTGGGCACGTGCCTTGTAAAAGTCTCCGGGGCCCCTAAACCCTAAACCCTAAACCCTAAACCCTAAACCCCAAACCCTCAACCCTAAACCCTAAACCCTAAACCCTCCCAGATCCGAAGTGTCTTTGCAGGAGCTCACGCGGCTGCTCACTGCCCAGGGCGACATCCCGCCCCAGTACTCGGCACTCCGAACCTCCCTGGAGCATTCGGGATGCATGGCCGTTTTTTTAGGGTTTAGGGTTTAGGGTTTAGGGTTTTTTTCCGAGAGTATTTTTTTTGGTTCTTGCTGACGGTCACACAGTTCGTGGAGGTTCTTTCTCGCTTGTGGTGCTCGGATGGGTTCTGCAGACTCTGCTCTGGGGCGCAACTGATATCGGTCTCGGTCTCCTTTCTGGTCTTTCCTGAGTTAGCCGTCTGCGTGGGGTTGTGTTGGTCAGCGATTTTGGGAGGGGGGGGGGGAGTTGCTTTGCTTCATGATTGGGCAGCTTTGACTGATGGAGCCTTTGAGGCTTGCGCTGTGCGACTGGCGGCGATTTTCGGAGATTGGCTTGGGAGGCAACGGACATACCTGTACACCCGATAGTGTAAAGACGGAAGCCCTAAAAAGTGGATGTCAGCGGAGAGCCTGGAACCTTCTCCCAACGGCCCTAGTCGCTGCCAGTCTGTTCGGATCGTTGCAGTCGCTGGGGGGAAGAAGATGTAGAAGTCGCTGCCGCTTGCGTTTACTTGGGGGAAACGACCACGGATGTAACCTCATCATGTGCAGAGGCGTACTTTGGCTAAGCGTTCCTCCGAGATTTGCATGATTTCGCAAGTAATTCGCTGCTTTTGGAAACTGCAAAACCCATGCGTTCATTGGGGAAGCCGTGGTGTGCAGAGTACCTTTGCTTGAGCTCTCGGCTGGAAGTGGCGACCACAGCTTACGCACTACTTACGCGCAGCTTACGCGGCCGTGCTCTGTGCTGCTACAAGATGGCTCGAAGATCGACTAGAATGCAGCTTTTCGCTGCGTTAGATCCGTTAGATGGTGTTATGCATGCATTTTCGTGCATGTGGATGCGGCGTTTCGCTGTGTTTAGGTGGTGTTTGACTTGGCTTTCGTGCATGTCAATGTATGCAAAAAGTATGATGTCGTAGATGCATCGTTTCGCTGCGTTGACATGGTGTTTGGCTTTTTCGGTGCATGTGGAAGGTTGCAAAAACTCACATGAAACTTGTGGCTGGGACTTGCGGTCCCTAGGGGAAAGGCTTGTTCCAGTTCATGGTGGATAACATGTGTCCAGATTGCGGTGCGTTTACTTGGGGGAAAATTTTGGCTGGGACTTTTTGGGGTCGTGGGCTGGACCTGCCTTCCTTGGGGAGAAGGCATCTGGAGGCAAAATTGATGGGACGAGGGCCGCCCGCTGTGCCGAATAGTAACCCTTCGTCCCTCAGTGGAAGGTTTACGGGACCCCGAACATAGACCCCCAAATCGTAGGATTCCCTTATCATCAGGGCCTTACGGGACACCTCCTGGAGCAACCCTAAACCCTAAACCCTAAACCCTAAATCCGTTCCTTAGGCTGGGGCGACAACGCCACGCATCGAGTGCAGCAGGCTGTGGGATGACAGGACAACAGGGTGACCAGAGCTTGCAACGACTCACTGACGTGGGTTCCAGCCTAAAAACCCTAGTTCTGGCAATGCGCATGGCGAAAGAAGCGCGAAAGCACCGCGGTAGGTTCCGCGAAAGGGGCGGCGCGAGTAGAGCTTCCAGCAACCATGCAAGTGCTACTGTTTTTATTGGCTCGTTGCCCCAGCCTGTTCGTACAACTGTCAAGGTCACGTAAGTGCTTGACCGGGGCCATCCGCGAAAGGCCCAGGGAAGCTCCACGAAAGTTCGTGAAAGATGAGCACGGGTCAGCAAGGTCTTGGCACATCCTGCCGACATGAGCTAGGAAGCTTTCCTGCGGGATCGACAAAGCAGCTTCGCACGCGAAGACCACAAGGTGACCTTTCACTGCTTCACTGCCAAATGCGATGAACTCAGGTCATCTCAGGCCACATCAGGGCACTGAAACATGCTTCTTCTGAAGAGCGAAACCCCAACAATCATAATTACACACCTCCAACAGCAAAGGCCCATGCGCTTCAAGCTAAACATGTTTCGTGCATGCTTGCCTCTAAATAGCACTGGTTTAGGGCGAAATGGGCGTTCTACTGTGTGCGCGCTAGAGCGCGAAAGGGCCGTACCGCACTTGGCCGCATGATTCGAAGCCCCGATCCTGGGCATGATGCACATCTGAAGCTTCATAAAATCATAAAAAGTAGCCTTTTCCATTGAGCTATGTAGGCCCCCGCCCCCCTCCCCCCCCCGCCCCCGGCGCCCGAATGGACAAGTCATGCGATGTCCAGGTCCTTGACAAACTCGACGGTGGCCGCATGCTGGCCAATGAAGATGCCTACATCGAAGCCATGCAGCGGGAGTATCCAGCGTGAGAGGATAAAAAAAGCTGCAGTGCTGAGTCAGGCTAGTCGCTTGGTGTTGCTATGAGCACACAGACACTTTGGCACGACCCTACGTGCAAGTAGGCAAATGCAAGTCTGAACTCCATGTCGACTTACTCAGCCGCCCGAAGAAGACAGCTTCATGCAGCTTACACAAAAAAGTCGACCAAGAGGTGGAAGCTCGCATGAGCTTTTGCCGAAGATGTTGACTTGCCACTGAACGGCCAGGCGTCACGAAACTCCAGACTTCGTTCGCTGACACCGTCGCTTGGCCTGTGCTCCTCCACTGGCATGCCACGCAACAAGCCGTGCCATTCTATATACTTATTCATGCATCTTTCCCTGGATACACCGTCCAGCCACGCAGTGGGAAGTTGGGACATTGGATTGCGGCAGGGTGCCGGTGTCAGGGACAGGGCGGTCAATGACGTCAGCCAGCATCATCAGCGAGCAGTTTGTCCCTAAACCCTAAACCCTAAACCCTAAACCCTAAACCCTATACCCTAAACCCTAAACCCTAAACCCCGAATCAAACCCTAAAAAACAACCCTGGTCTTGCACACTTCTCAGGTTCTCCGAACATGCTAAAACCCCTCACAAATTTCAAAGGGCTTTCGAGCTACTAGGTTTGATGCGTCCCCCCCGCCCCCCTCCCCGCCCTTAGTTCTGTAGAGATCTTAAACGGGGCAAGTGCCAGACCAGGTTTTGGGGCCAGGGGTTTTTTCTGTTAGAGGTGCCGTTCTGTCAGGGAGAAAAGGAGCGTTGCTCGCCCCTCCGAGGCCGACCCGGCGAGAGGCGGAGCGTGTCGCTGCCAAGGCCCTTGCTGAATGTGAGATCGCTGCATTTGGTCCAGGAGAACCCTACGTAAGCCCGAAATCCTAAGCCCGACATGTAGGCAGATTCCACGTGCATAAATGTCCAGGCGGATGATGATGCCGATGACTCCAGTGACAGCGAGGTGCTGGAGCTCGTCGAGTGTGGTTCCCAGCTGCCCCAGCTGCCAGACCTGAAATGCTGAAATAGCAAGTTTTTCTGTCCAAGAAGGCACAGTGCCGTGGAGCCGGTGTTCCCAAATCTCTGAAATTGGATTTTAAAGCTGAGCTCCCAAATCTTGTCCTCTTCGCTCAGGACCATTCGGAATCGGGCCACGACATGGAGTCCCGAGGTGCTTTTCTGCGGGCAGTTGACGTTTTGCACAAGACTCCTGCAAGCGATTTGTCCGGCGAGGCGCACAAGAGTATCATGGACAAGCTTGGCATCCAACTCAATGCAGGCCGGGCCTAAACCCTAAACCCTAGAAAGATGTGGAAGATGGACATTGGACGTGTCAGCCCTCCCTGGTCCTGCCCGTGCTACACGTTTGCGTGGCTTTGCGCTCCTAAAGGCGCTGGCACCTCCTCCCTGAAGGGAACACCGCCTCAAGTGCGGCGCAGGGCACTCATATGCAGTGTTCTGCCTGGAGTTGTTCTGTTCTGTACAGCTGATCTATGCCCTACACAAGTTGCCAGCCACGAGATTCGACTGTCTTGAGGCCCTAAGCCCCGCCCCCCCCCTTAAAGGCATCCAAATGGAGCAAAAGATTGCAGCGTAGAAGCTCGAGCATCCACACCGGCGCCCTGCTTGCTCGCCATCTGCCAGCAGCCATGTCTCGCCCTGACCCGGCCACCTCCGACTTCGACTCCTAGCTACAAAGTTTGTTGCAAAAATGCTTAGGTCCTAGGTAGGATAAGGGGGACCCTTAAAAGGGAACGCCTTCTTTACCCTCTTCTGGCTCTCTTAAACAGAGACCTTATTCAGAGGGTCTATATCCCCAACGGTCCCCCTAATCCTATCCCCTATTAGGGCCGACTTGGGCTGGCTTCTTGCAGAATTGAGACGTGATCTGAAGCTGGTGCTGCCAGCATCACTCGGGTAACATCATCTACTACTGTAATTGCTTAAGAACCCACCGAAAAACACAAATATTCTTCCTTATTAAGGGTAATATAGGGATTAGTGTTTTTTACACATCCTTTTGGGCTTCTTAAGCAATAGTAGCAGTCATGGTGCCGCAGGATGTAGGGCAGCCCTGGAACTCCTAGATGGACGGTAAGTAATGTGAGAAGATCTGCCGTTAACAATGTTATTCTGTAATATTGTTATATCATATCAACACTTTCATTTATTATTTTTACTACTATTACTATTATGAATATTTTTATTTGTAGTAATGATTATAATAATAATATGATGCAAGTTCGTATTATAAGCTTCAGATCTTCGACTCAGATGAAGTCGGTGGAGTGAAGACTTGAAGACGAGCAGGCCAAAATGGGGATGGACAAGACCAACTTCTTTGTGTTCTTTCCCATCTTCATGATGGTCTCTCTGCTCCCCGGGATCATTGGCGCGGTCATGGCCATGAAGCGCAGCTCCTTCGTTCAGGTGCTTCGGGTTTAGGGTGTAGGGTGTAGGGCTTAGGGTTTAGGGTTTGGGGAGATGCTTGATTCCTCGGTGGTGCTTTAAATCAAGACTTGTCTGCCAGGGCTCGAAACCGAGCAATGGTAGCTGTCAAATGTTGCGCACGAGTCGCTCAGTTGGACTCCCAGGCTTTCTAGCCCTAAACCCTAAACCCTAAACCCTAAACCCTAAACCCTAAACCCTAAACCCGAAACCATGCGGATTCGCCCCAGCTGTGCAGGAGGGAAAAAAACCCGAAACTTTTTTTGCATACAGTCCTGGTGAGGACCGCATAGACCACATCGCGGCCATGAGCGCCGGCCCTCTCTACTTGACCGTGTTTTTCTTGAGCCCCAGCGGCCTTCGTTTAGGGTTTAGGGTTTAGGGTTTAGGGTTTAGGTAGCTTGCTAAACATGGTGATGGCAGGATGTAGGCCTTCAGGCCGTTTGATTGTCGACTTGTGGTGTTTTGGCCATAGCGCTTAGTTGCCGTACCTTGCTTCCGGGTTCTCTTTTTGGTTCTGTCATACGAAGCTGAGAAGGCGCCTGTTTGTCATAATGCGATTGTTTTCCCTTGTTGCCGTTTTTGATTTTATAGCGGTTCTTTGCGGCTCCTTGAAACGAGAGGAGCCGGACGAAAGGTCTGAAGTTTTGTTGGCCTTGGCTTAAGAGCACTTGTTTATGCGTTTGTTGGGGCCATTCCCAGGTCAAAAGCCTGGGACTTCCGGTCCCCAAAAAGGTGGACTTCTAGGGAACTTTCAGGGATCCCCCCCCCCCCCCCCAAGGGTTTGGAGTTGGCTTTGGGAGGACCCCGCCCTGTCCCTCAAGATTTGTGAAGCCTTTGGAGAGACGTCATGAGTTTGTCTTGTCATTGTCGGTTTTCTCAGAACGACTGACAGATTTCGTGCCGAGATTTCCGTCAGGCCGGGAGCAGGTAATAGCAAGTGCTCGATCGGTACAGTGAGTCCCTGAACTCAGTCAAGGAGGCTCACGATGGGCCTGATGCAAGCAAGCCTGGGCAACGCCCGACGTGACTGCGGCGTGAACGTGCCGGACCCGCCCCTACACCCGTAGAGCAATGCAGAGGTTGGGAGGCCTTTGCAGCAGAGAGCGAAGTTTCACAGAAGGGCATGGACCTAAAACCCTAAACCCAAACCCTAAACCCTAAACCCTAAACCCTGTGGAGCCTGCGAGGACCAGCATGCCTACAAGGTGGTTGGCGGGACTGCCGATGGAGCATTGGCCTGGGCCACAGGTGAAAGTGACCTGTTCGGGTGTCCATCATGCAAAGGACAAGACTGAGTACAAGACACGCAACTTGGGATGTTCCCCCCTTACACTAACAGTCATTAATGCCATTCTTTGGGATGATACTAGGGGGTACGATGATCCCTATTAAGGACTGTTAGTATAAGGGGGAGCATCCCAACACACGACCAAAATTAGCCCAAGGTTTTAATGGATGACGCGGAACCCTTTGGTCGCTTCAACCGGGCGCAGCGTGCAGTCCAGAACCACGTGGAGCAGGCGGGGGGTGAAACATGTCATACCCCAAAGCCCCAAACTACTGACCCTCTAACCCAAGAACAAGGCGAGTTTAGTTTTTTCGTCGCCGTGGAATGTTCTTGATTTTTGAAAGCGTGGGGTTTTGGCAACGGAAAACTTTCTGTTTTCGCACGCCACTGCTGTCACGTAGCTTCACTGCTTCAGCAGTGTTTCGGGAAGGGGCATGCAGAAGGTTTAGGGTTTAGGTTTTAGAGGGTTTAGGGGAAGATGGAAGCAGTGTCCCACACCCCCAAGCCCAAACCCAGAAAAAAAGTACTATTGGCCGTTGAAAAAGTGCCAAAAGTGAGGCAAACGACCACTTTACTCCAAGCCCCACCCTCCATGGAACAAAACAAACTGCGCAACGCAGCGTCAAACAACGAGAAATTGCCGGAAGTTTACGCTAAACTCGAGAACCCTCCCACAGCGGCGGAAAGCCTCCCTCCGAGACCACTCTGTTACTACTGATTAATTGCTTAAGAACCACCCCCCCCCCCCTCCCCCCCGCCAAAGAAATGTTATTCCTTGTGAGGGCAATATAGGTATGGTTGTTTTTTGCTTTTCTGGGTAGCTTAAGCAGTAGTTTCAAGAAATTGCAGTTGTCCCGAAGTACTACCTCGGCGCGTGGCCCCAAAAAAGAAACACCCCCACAAGCCTATAACACTATTAACCCTATAAACCCCTGCAAACCCTAAACCCTAAATCCCCTGCAAACTCCATACCCCTAAACCCTATGACCAAACCCCGCCAAGGTCTTCCCAATGGTCTTGGAGTTCATACTTGGTGGCTACGTCTTCCCTTGGACAACGGCCGCAATTACCTGCGCGTGGGCTGCGCTGCGTTGTCCCTCGGAATCGCAGCAGTTGAAGTTGGGCAAAAAAAGCAGTCGTAGGGTTTAGGGTGTAGGTTTAGGGTTAGGGTTTAGGGTTTAGGGTTTAGGGTTTAGGGTTTAGGGTTTAGGGTTTAGGGTTTAGGGTTTAGGGTTTAGGGTTTAGGGTTTAGGGTTTAGGGTTTAGGGTTTAGGGTAGGGTGTAGGGTTCAGGAACCCTAAGCCCTAAACCTGGTTTAGTTAGGCAGTTGTAGGAGCTGTAGGATCCACTGTCGAAGTTTGAGGTTATGGGGCTGTTCTCTACGCCAATGATCGAATGGCCCGGGTAAAGGCAGGCGATGTCCCAAGATCTCATCAACAATTCTCAACTTTTTCACCAGAATATTGACGTCTTGGTTTGTTTTGGTTGGCTTAAAGACGCTACAAGGATCTTCTTAAGAGCAGACTCATCCCTAAACCCTAAACTCTAAACCCTAAACCCTAAACCCTCATCAGCCCCCCTGTGTAGGGCAACCTCCCCGCCAATATCTTGCTTGGCACTCTGGCGGGCCTCGTTTTGACAGTCGGCATCGTCGCCACCATGAAGTGATGGGGGCACTAGACTGCAATGTGCTTAAGAACCCCAAAAGAATTTTAAAAAAATCATCATCCCAAGGAATACTCTAATTTATTTCTTTTCCAGGGTTCTTAAGCAATTAGTAGTCAAGCAGCCGAACTCCGAAAAACAGGATGCGGAGCTGTTGCTGTGAGTTGCTATAGTTGCTTGTAGGACTTAGGAGTCGGCTTTCAGCAGCGTCTCTGAACTCTGATCTCCTGACCTGTTGGGGTCTTTTCGGGTGATGTCCTTTCAAATGTTAAATGACATTTTGAGATAATAGTAATAGTAGTAATAATAGTAGTAATAATAATAGTAATAGTAGTAGAAATAATATTAATAATGTTCATCGGTTGAAGAGTTGCATCGACGTCTGCCTTACAGCGAAGTTTGCCGAGCCCAGTGTTATAGACTCGACACAAGAGACGGACACGGATGGCCCATGAGTTGCTAGCGGCTGAGATGGGAAAGGCGCGAGCGGGCCTGTGCACAGGCGTTCCTCAGACCCCTAAACCCTAAACCCTAAACCCTAAACCCTAAACCCTAAACCCTAAACCCTAAACCCTAAACCTCAACACCAAAATGAAGGAGAGGTTCACAGCTCAGGTGGGCTGAAACGCTGCTTGACTAAGAGTGGTGGCAGCTACTCGACATAGCCGGTTCCATGTTGGCATCTGAAATCTAGAGGGGTTGACCATGCGAGGCCTCATGGTCTTGTAAGGAATTCGAAGACGACGTAGGGAAACTGGTTCACTCATGCTCAAGATTGATGGCACGATCAGGTGGCAGCGCTGTTCTGTGAGCGCACTAGGCGCTGAGATTGGTTTTCTGCATACTCTCTTGACAACACAGGGCTCTCGGACTCATGCCGTAGCACAAAGCCACCTCGAGCTTGGGTAGATGCTTTCAGTGCGGGTTTAGATGGCGACGGAATTGCGACAGTGCTAATGTTTCAAGCAGGATGGATTAACTCCTCCATGCCTCCAGGAGTTTGCCACACATGCATCAGCCACAGCGCTGTTTCTGCGTTCGCCGTATTGTTACAAGACATGTGGCAAGATCTCCTGAGAATGCGCCGGCGACGAACACAATTGCGGTCTTAAAAAGAAGCTGTCCAGAACCTCGAAGCACGTGACAGTGCAAGAAGGCTCAACAAGCTTCATGAACATGAGTCATAACCATATCATAACCAGAGCCATATGCATCTTCATAATGAGCAGCTATAGGCCCTATCGGAGTCCATGAGTTGCTCCGATCGCTTCTTCGAACCCTATCTTGCCATAGCATTCGTGTCCTGGTACATTGACATATCCCGCTTCACATGTCTCACATCTTGCTTTCTCATTCTCGCTGGCGCGTCAGCCCTGCACCTATGTAAAGTGTGCACATTCATGCGGCTTTAACCGGCCATCCAGTTACGGATGCAAGCATGATGTGATGCTAGCAGACGTCAAGCGTGACATCAAGCGTGACATCAAGCGTGACATGACACAAAGCTCGCATCGAGAGATGAGCTTGCGAATTGACTGAAGGAACACAAGCGCCTGCCAAGACAGCCTAGTAAAGTGTGGCCTTGGCTCCGGGGCCGACAAGATATCACAGGGAGCGTGCGCCAACCGCACACCCACAAAGGCGCAACAGATTCGCGGTCACAAGCCCGTCCAACGTTCCATTCTGAGCCTAAGCACGGAGATCCTGAAGCAACGCAACAGAAGCGCGTCGGCCGCATCATTAGCATCATCGCCGATGCGTGTTTGTTCTTGGTCCGCGAGTTCTCATTCCAGCACCCGAGTTCTCCCGAATCGACGTGAAGCTCTGAACTTTCGATTCCAAGACGCCGAAGTTTTCCCCTTAAGGGACATTTCAGAGGCGCAGGCCAACAACCCATCGTACCGGTGATAGCTTCCTGCTCGATGGCAGCGTGATGAACAATCTAGCATAGATCCCCATTGCCGATGGCGAGTGTACCCCAACTCTTGACTTACACCTTTACCGGCACTGTGGAAGTGGTTTCACCACCTATCCTTCATGTCGCCGGCAGCAGGGGAGCTTGCCCAGGCCATTACAGGAATTCTCGGGATGCCAGTTGGTCAGTTGTGGCAGCTCCAAAACGCAGAGTTCCACCTTGCTTGGGGCGACGAGTCTTGATGTTTCAACAGGTAGGACCTCGACGTACTTTCCCCAATTGCTTAGACGCCCCTGCGAAGCAGCAATCTGTCTGCAGATCGTCGGAGATGGCGGCTGACTATGGACGAGCCGACCCTGTTCTGCAGTTGTGCCCCGTACGGTCATACTGGAAGCATGCTAAAGAGCACACCTTTTCGCAGCGCTGCCAGTGTTGCCAGTTCGCACGAAATAGTCCGCTCCCCCTCATATTAAACCTACCCCCAGGGTTTAATATTCCCCATGCACTATAATATAGGGTATTGCGTGTTAGGGGCCGGAGGAAGGGCTTAGTCCTTATATGGTCGCTTCTCTAAATCAAGGTCCCTTTTTGGGTACCCCAAGTAGGAACACTAAACCATAAACCATACTTCTAGAGAAGTGGCCATATAGATGACGTGTGATGTTCCCCCTTATACTAATACTAGGCACTAGCAGTCCTTAGCAGGAATTTTCGTACCCCGATTAGTCCTTAACAGGGATTATCGTACCGACTGTTAGCATAAGTGAGTTTACGAAAATAGGGGACCCCAAAGAAAAATCCCCAAAGAGTAGGATTCCCCTATTCAGGTACCCCTTAAGATGGTAACACCCCCCTAAGGAAGCATCCCAAAACCACCCTAAACCCTAAACCCTAAACCCCTAAGCCCCCAAACCCCTAAACCCCTAAACCCCTAAACCCCTAAACCCCTAAACCCCTAAACCCCTAAACCCCTAAACCCCTAAACCCCTAAACCCCTAAACCCTAAACCCTAAACCGAATAAATGACACACATTGGGAGTTGATCCCAGGACCGACTCGGTCACAGCGTGGGCACCAAGAGAAATGCCGGGCTTTGGAGTCGGCTTCGGGGGTCGTAGGATGGGGTTTAGGGTTTAGGGTTTAGGGTTTAAAAGTTTAGGGTTTAGGGTTTAGGGTTTAGGGTTTAGGGTTTAGGGGGGTTTAGGGCTTCGGGCTTAGGGCTTAGGGCTTCACAGCTAGACCTGCAATTTGTCCGCGCAGTGCTTTCCTGTAAGGTGCCCCAGGATGCTCCTGTCAGCAGTGCTGAGTCGTGGGTTGTCCTGGGCTTCTGGGGAAGAGGGGCAAGGCAGGCAGTGGTGAGGAGACATGCTGCTGCAAAAGAGCTTAGGGTTTGGAGGCGTTGGGCATATTTGAGGGATTTCTTGAACAGTCATGTTATCTCGTACGCTTTTACCTCTAGCTTGCTCGCAAGAAGGCGAACATTGCCGACGTGCGCGAGGCGTGTGTGTTGTGCATCAGCGTTACGTGCTCTTCTTGCACCAAGACGTGGGTTGCAACATGAGTCGCGCTGAAGCCATCAGTGAAAGTTTAGCTTCTTCTGGGAGTGAGAGGGCTTGAAAAGTTTGAACAGACACATACAAGTGTCGCATATGGCAGCTGTAAGAGCGATACCTGCCGATTCGAAGTACTGACACGGCAGAAGAAAGGCCACAGCTGACTCGAGAACATCCCGGGTTCTTTGCGGGTTTATGAAACTCGGTGTACCCTCTTTGGGGCGTGTCCAACAATAAGGGATAGTGGTATTTTGAGGTGTATAAGTAAGTCTACTACTTTGGGAAACGCCTACTTCACAACCTTGCAACCCATTCCTGTGTGCTTCGTGAAGGAGGCAAATGATCATCCCCACGTGGTGGTGGCTGTTCGACTGCGGCCGCTGAACGACAGCGAAGTGTGCTCCTGGCAAAGCTTGCTTGTTGTTTTGCTCGAGCTCCATGGATCTTGTTTTGTAGCAGAGTACTGGGCGAACCGAGACCTTCCTAGGCTTGCCTGCGAGTGCGAGAGCCGAAGCCCGAGACCCTAAAATCGAAGACTCTTCTTAGCCCCCTTCGGACACCTTGGGACCTTGGGAACATTGGGAGGTCATCAGGCCGTGCTGATGTGCGCGTCACCTCAAACAGCCTTGTGCGGGACCAAGGTTTGGGGCGTGTTTTTTTTGCAAGGATTTGTCTAGGCTACATCGGATTGACAGATTCACACGGCTAAATGTTCAACTTAGTTGAGACGCAGCTTCCCCGATACAACTCCCCTAAACCCTAAACCCTAAACCCCAAACCCTAAACCCTAAACCCTAAACTCTTTTTTTTTGGAATCTCTTTTCCACTTACCTCTGTAGTCCGGGCAGGTCTGGAGCTGAAGGAAAGCGGGGACAACTGGAGTAGAATGGGAAGGTCAGTTCATGGGAGGTGTGTCTATGCAGTCGAGTGTTGACGGGCCCTGACCCTAACCACAACCCCACCCCCTCCCCAAAACAGGAACACAAGCTCAGAAAACTCGCGTTTTATACCCTGCTGTGCAGGAAGGGAGCCCTAAACCCTCAGCTCTAAATCCTAAAGCCTTTTCCCTAATCGCTTCTCCCTGTAGCTGAAACATAGCTGAACAAAGACGCGATCGCATCAAAGCAGTGCCCTAAACCCTAAACCCTAAACCCTAAACCCTAAACCTGAGCACTTCTCAGAGCCGTGGGCTGCTCAAGTGGAGGTCGCTAAGCCAACCTTGCATTCTTTTCGGAGAGCAACACCATCAACCCTGCCTGCGGTTCGGCCAGCTATGCGGGAGCGAACAACTAACCCTAACCCTAAACCCTAAACCCTAAACCCTAAACCCTAAACCCTAAACCCCCTTAAAAAACCAATAGCAGAGCTGAGGTGACGACGTACAAGGGTCAGGCCGGCCTTCGGATCGCAGCATGTGGGCAGTTCTCGAAATCAGGGTCCTCTTTTTCAGGTTCCAACTGTAATAAGTTCAGGTTAGCTTAGGGAACCCATGTATAGAACCACGCAGAGCGCGTACATGCACTTACATACTGGTACATCAATGACGGTGATGTCGTGCAATGTGGCGTAACGCAACGCAATGTAATGCAAAGTGCGCATGTTTGTATGGAACGTGCGTTGGTGTCTGTGCTAGCTGCGCATGAGAGGTACACATTCTGCTCCTTTACATAGTTTCATACCGCAATCCCATTCATGCATCGTTCTGCGGGGCTAGCGATTGTGCACTTGTTTTGGTCTTCAACTTTGTATAGAACTGATGACCGAGATTTGAGGCCCTCTGAAACCTTTGCTGCATCTGTGCGCTGACTCCTGTGCACGATCAATAAGGCAGAGGACCTGGCAGGGTACTTGAACACCCTTCGCCAGGATCACCACTACAACTTCGACCATGTCTTTGGAGAAGATGCAGATCAAGCCAGTTGCTCAATTTCTTGAGAGCATGGTGTCCCGATGCACCTGAAGTGGAAGAACTTGCGGCTTAGTATGTTTGTCCATATGGGCCTGGAGTCCACATGGAGTTGACCCTAAACCCTAAACCCTAAACCCTAAACCCTAAACCCGAAGTGTGAGGATGGGGTGGGACGGAGCGAGGCAGCAAGCTCCCATAGTGACCGAGGGGCAGAGCGTATGCAGATGTGGGGTGAAGAGAGGTAGTGAGAGAGGGCAGTGATTTCACCATGCCAAACTGATGGCGGGCGCTGTAGCCTGCTCTCCTTTGCTTGCATGTCCTCGTGATTAGGCAGTTTGTGGGCATTCCGGTAACACTGGTCGGATTTGTGTGGGGGGCGGGTCTTAGTCTCTGTGGGTGAAGTTGACTATTGCCTAACCGGGGGCCGGAGTGTCTAGTCCAAAGTGACGTTGAATCGACCTACAGTAGTTGTTTCACGATTGATGAGCTGATGCCGATGTAGTGGTTGGGCCTGAAGGGGTGAGGGGGATGGGTCTTACTTCTTGTGGTTTCTCCTTTGGGCCCATGCGACTGCTTGGCATGGGTTCCTCTTGTCCTACACAGACCAACGGACCTTGCCTGCCTTGTGCGAGAGTGAGCGACTAAACCCGAAACCTTCCGGGGATGGAGGATAAATCGGACAGCCTTCCAGTCACGGCGAGGAGAAGCGCCCCATGTTTTCGGATCACTTGCGATCCGGGTGATTTTTTTTATTTTTGCGGGCCATGGAGGGGGAGGAGCCCAGTTCAGAGCGCCTATTCTCATGTGTTGGGCACCCCGAGTACCAAGGCATCAACCACTAAGCAACAAAAAACACGAAATATATACATATTTATATATATATAGGTGTACATACATAGATGCATATACGCATCCATATAGAACCTGGAACATTCTTGTAAAAGATACATGAACAAGAATGGTTTCACTCACCTGCAAGTGTCGAAACAATGTTGCGTTGGCTTTCAAACATTGCACATTGAGGCAGCAGTTTTCCTGACTCTGGGGTTACCGCAGCTTTCCAAGGCCGCCGACTGCAGTTGGAGCACAGGGGGGTTCAGCTTTCTGGATTTTGGTCCCTTTGGCCTCCTGTTATTCCTAGTCTGTCGGTTCCTTCGCTGGTCATGGAGGTTGTGGCTTTGGTAAGTTGATGCCTGGATTTCGCTACAGTGTTACAGGAAGGCTGTGGTACTGACGCTGTCAGAATCTGACTCACGAAACGCTGCAATACCCTTGGTTGCGATGTGCTGCGTGAAGGCATTTGAGGGCTACAACAGCACGATCTTCGCATATGGCTGCAGCCCTATCTCTCACCACTCAGATGGAGAGGGCGCTAGGGACGCGGAGCAGTGCAACGCACATGCTATCTGCACTTTCCCCGCTGAAGCTGCAGACTGCGAGGCATGTTATCAAGCCCGGCCCGGCCCTGTTGCCTCTGTCATGTAAACGGCTCCCTCGCTATGCCATGTTGGGATCACAGGTAGCACGGGTTGGGCGTCGATTGTGCTGTTAAAAGCGGCAGTGCGGAATGATGTAAGCATCCTGAGCCTGCATGGTAGAGGATTAGTTTTTATAATTGATAAAACGAGACTGGATGGCATGATGGCACTGCTCAGGCCAGACCGGAAGTGGGAAGACCTACACAATGCTGCTTCTCAATTGCGTTGGCATGAGGGCAGAAATATTCATCAAAGAAGACATGACTAGACAGTGCCCCACTGCATGCTGTATGTTGCGCATGGTGCCTTCCGATGTCGTGATGCGATGCTCTCTGCCGACCTCTTGTGCTCAAGTGGGTCTGGGCTCTTTCACGTGGCGAAGCCATGTCAGAAGCCGTGGACCTGGATAACCACGTGAAAAACACCACGCTGGAAGCCCGTGTGGCTGAACTGGAAGCCAAGCTCGAGGCGTTATCTCGCGCGGCTTCTGCTGGATCTCAACAGTCGCAACACGAAGTGCCTTGCTGTTGGATTCAAGGTCGCGCCTGCTGAAAGAGGCTGTTCAAAGGTCTTTTTGTATAAGGCAGATTCTTAACTCCGTGATGTCTGTATCATTGGTCAATCCATCGTTTTTACGACCACATAAAGGTAGAGATTCTCCCTGCCGTGCCTGGAGATGGCACAGCCAAGGCCTCCAGGCTGCATTTCGCCACCATGCACGCCTGGGGTTCTCAGCATGGGTAGGTTGAAGCAGGGGTTCAAGCAAGATAGTCGGGGCAAAGAGCAGCATCGCAAGGCGCCCTGCGCCAAGGATGAGAAGAGTGCTTCGAAGACCTTGTCGACTCAGCGCACGAGTGAGGATGATGGTCATGTGGAAGATGACTTCCCGCCGCCTGGCAGAGCGCAGCGCGTTCAACTTGAGAAGCAAGTTGCCTGTTAGATCAGCTCCCGCTGTAGCGAGGAAATCGGAAGAACCAGAAATGCAGCATGAACGCTCACAAAGGAAACGGCATTCATCCGTCGGTCCGAGTGACCGAGGTGATCGCATCTTCGGGCATTCCGCACCCTGCTCTGTACCCCAAAAAGCCTTCTTCCGAATTGGCAGCTCATGCCTCTTTGAATCTCAGACTCGATTTGCTACGAAACTTTGGCCCCATGCAGCTGCAAGAACCGAGGCAAAGGCAATCACCAAGCAAGAGCTTGAGTCCAGTAGTACGATCCTCCAACCCTAAGCCTTATTAAGCCCTAAAGCCTAAACCTTGGTACCCTAAACCCGAAACCCTAAACCCTAAACCCTAAACCTTAAACACCAAAAAAAAGCCCAAACCTGCGGGGCTGCTTTGTTCTTTTAAGGCTGATGATCAGCATCTGGGATGCCACCATCCTGGTGAGCATGGGCTCGAGCTCGGCGCCGGGTTGGGAGTCGCTGGCCACGCACCCTAAACCCTAAACCCTAAACCCTAAACCCTAAACCCTAAACCCTAAACCCCAAAAAGAGAGAGAGAGAGAGAGAGAGAGGGAGAGAGGGAGAGGGAGAGAGAAAGAAAGAAAGAGGAGTGGGCAGGTGACTGGGCGCGCTTCCGCGCAAGGGGTTTTCAGGGCCCCCCCCCCAAGCCGCCCTGCAGAAGAAGCAGAAGGAGCAGAAGAAGAAGAAGAAGAAGAAGAAGAAGAAGAAGAAGAAGAAGAAGAGGAAGAAGAAGCGAGAGGTACTGGCATGCATATAATGTACTATATACTCTGTCATAGAAAAACAATTATCATTATACATAGTTTATTCACGCGCAAAACATACTATACATGGAGATACATCGGGTTGTACATGCATATAACAATATGCATTTATGTTCGCAATTGCACATGGGTGGTATATGGGATATGTGTACAAGGGGTGCAGCAGTGCTTGGCATTGGGGTCAGTGGACGATTCTCCTCAGAGCATCTTCCACACACTACTTCTTGAGCAAACCCTAAACCCTAAACCCCAAACCCCAAACCCTAAACCACACTGTGGCTTGCCTGCTTGGCATTGTTCAAAAAAAGACCGAAACCCCCCTGATTTCTGGGTCCTTCAGGCCTTCCCCAAGGTCCCCAAGCCCTTGCTGGCCAGGTTGAAATTCGCGGACCAGGTCTTGGTCATCCTCCTCTACATCCTGAACATGATCATGCAAACAGTTTTCGTGGCTGGGATCACCACGACGATGAATCCGAACCCCTACGCACCTTTGCAGAGCCTTAAACAAACGGGAAGTTTGCAATGCGAAGCTCGACCGTGCTGCTTTCTCTTGAACTGTTCTGCCAATGAGATGCGCCCCTTCGACTAAGTGGTGTGCGCTGTGCGAGAGAGAAGGGAAGGCGAGAGAGAGAGAGAGAGAGAGAGAGGCGGCTTGCCCCTTGGGGGGGGCCATGCGTGCAGAGAGAGAGAGAGAGAGGGACCAGTGGGAGCACCACTTCAAAACGAACCCCCAAACAAAGCGGGGAAACAGACACGCCAACCATGGCACAATTGGGAGCAGTACTGAACAAATGAGCCGCTTGATGCAAAAAGGGGAACGACATAGTTAGCTTTCAGTTTTGGAGCATGTAGCCTGTTCTGCGCACGCTCCGTGTACAACCCACTAAGAAGCCGCATTTTCTTTTCCCCCCTCGTGGGTCCCTGGGTGGTTGTTCGGTTGTTGGGGCGAAAGGAGTTTACCGTTCATTTCAAGTCGCATCGCAGCTCAGGCCAAGCATGAGCTCAATGGTCTAACTTCTCCCTAACCACCAAACCTGTGGCAGGGAACCTTGGAACTAGGAACACTCTGTAGGGGGAGAGATGGGACGGGGCCTTAATTCAGAGCAGAACCTCCACTCTCGTCGAACACACCGTGCACGCTGTTGCCCCACCCGTTGGCCATTTTCATGACCCCTGCAAAGTCGGCACAGTGGGAGATCAGGGGGTTTCACACAGACTGGCTCAGTTGAGCACGCCCGTTGGGGCGACCTCCCTCCGGGGGGTCATGTGCACAGCCAGGAAGGAAGAGAGAGATGAAATGAAGAAAGGAAGGAAATGAAAGAAATAAAGACAAAAACAAAAAACAAGAAAGAAAGAACAACGCCGCGAAGGAAGGAAGGATGGAAGGATGGATGGAAGGACGGAGGGAAGGAAAGAAAGAAGTAAAGAAAGAGAGAGCAGCTCGGAAAGTTGAGACTGCCGTCGGCGCCTGCCACTAACTGAGAGGGTAGCTGCGAGAAGAACAGTCTGCGCGCCTTTGCCTTTCGCAGTTGAGGTATTTCCAGCCATCGACACCATGCGCTATCAACGTCTCTTCGAGGGCCACGCATATGACAGCATGGATCGGAACACCATGCAGTCTCGCGTCCAGAAGGCTGGGTGGAGCACCTCTTATCTTCAGTGTTCCGAGCTGGCTTGACCTGGGAGGTTTGCACTGATACCTGGCACAACCGGCTCTCGTCCACTTCGACGAACACCTTCCAGCATCTCGGGCAGAAGGTGGACGATTTCACACTCCAGCTTGTCTCTTATCTGGCCCATGAGCACTGCCTGCTGAGAGGAATCTCGGTTTTGTGCAAGGATGTCTTCTGCTTCTGATTTGTGGGAGCAACTTTCAGGTACTTGCAGACTGACCTGAACGGCGTGCCGGGGCATTTCATCAGCCTGGTTGCCATGACCATCTGGGTTCTCACGATGACCAAGGACCCGTTCAGCTCTTGAACCTCCCTAGAAGTTCGCTGTTTAGGGTTCACGGTTTAGGGTTTAGGGTTTAGGGTTCAGGGTTTAGGGTTTAGGGTTCAGGGTTTAATTAGGGTTCAGGGTTTAGGGTTTAGGGCTCGTCTGTCAGTCATCAAGTCAGGATTCAAAAAGGGTTTAGGGGCAGATGACTCGGAAGCTGTGTGATGAGGAGCTCCGCTCAACTTTCGATCAACTTGCGGCACTAGTTATGCTGCCGAGGCGTGCCTCGGACTACATGGAGAGACCTACAACTTGTATAAGTTTAGGGGTTCCTCTAATTTCATATTCAGGGAGCTAAAAAGTTAAGCTTTTATTGGGGTGTTAAAGAGCAACCACGCTTTCAAACACATGGGGTAGTTCTCTAAATTAGGGTACCTTTTTGGGATCCTTTCTTTAAAGGGTGCCGCCTTATAATGGGTACCCAAAAGGGACCCTAATGTAGGAAAACCTACATAGGGTCTCTATTCTTGAGCCCCTCTCAACCCCCCCCCCCCCCTGCAGAGGGCGAGGGTTCCTATAGGTTAGGTACCCGAAAACCCTAAAGCCGGAAGCATCCCAAAACCCGAAGCTCTTCAAAATGCAAGCCTGTACTGGACGCAGGCTCAAGGGTTCTGGAGCTGCACGGCAGATGTTTGCCTCAACCAGCCTGTAGCTTAGGTGGCACGATCCTCTCCCGTGCCGGCGTTACCTTGTCAGACGAGGTCATTGCTGATGACCAGGGTTCTCTCGGCCAGAGATTGAGTCCTTAATCCGAGCTCCTGTTTAATTGGTGGGGCCCCCCCCCCCCCCCCCCCCCCCCCCCCCCCCCAACAATAAGGAAAGCAGGGTTCCGCAATAGTTGGACCATGGCCCCGTATGGTTTCTCTATTAAAAAACAATAAGAACGTCGGGCGAGAGGTGCAGCCTTAGCAGAAGAAAAAAAGCTTTCCGAAAGGCAGAGTTTCACAATTTGACAACCCCCCCCAAAAAAATTTCTTTAAATGTGGAGGGTTTGGCCCATACGAAATCCATCGTAATGGAAAGTAGTCTTCCGGCGGGAATCCGGGCAAAAAAAATCTCTTTAAATATAGGGGTTAAATTAAGCAGGACCTCGGATTAGGGGTGTAGGGTCTAGAGGGTTTATGGGACCCTCCTTAGTTCAAAGAACTCTGGTATCTGTGTAGGGAGAGGGAGATCTTCAAGCTGCCTCTAGGCATCCATCCCAGACCTGTTGCCATCTGATGCCGAGATAGGAGGTCAACGTCGCAACTTTAGCCATGCAGAAGTGGCCCACTTGTTGCAGTAGTCGACCGAGGTTATATTATTCCAGCCATGAGCAACCGGCACAAGGCGGGCACTCAAAAAGCTTGGCGTTAAGTCGGTGCAGAGCTGTCAATGCAAGAGAGATGGCATCTGGGAAGTTTGCAAGTGCCGCAGCCACTCAAAAACTGGCCTGCTATTGTTGTCCAAAGGTTCTACTTGCCATCACAGTCTACTTCCCACGGTTCCTGGTCGCCGTATCAGTTATGCTCGTGGGCACCCTGTTTCTGGCGGACACAGTGGCCGGACCGAGAAGAACAACCAAGGGGGTAGGAGACCGACCACCGATTCTCATGGACCATCTGAGAAGCAAACCTTTGACTCCTGCACTTTGCGGGTCAGATCGTGTCTCCGTGCGTGTCTCTGTGTTTCTATGTCAATCTCTCGATCTCCCTCTCTCTCTCTCTCACTCTCTGTTCATCGTCGTAGTAGGTCAGCTGCTAAGGCCGTGGTGGGTGACCTTATCTTGAACGCGCGACTTGGGCTGCGAAACAATCACCTTTTGGGTCTGTACAAAGTGCTGAGCCAGGTTGTTCTCAAGGTTTCGCTTATTCTGGTTTAGCTCTTGTCCCCCCAGTCCCGGTCATGTGTTCCTCTGGTCTCTTGTTCAATGACACGCTCCCAATGAGCCCAAGCTAGAATGAATTGAATGCTACAATGCATTTTGGCTCAAGCCGGCCCGATTGGCACGAGGACTGCAGCGAGACAACAAATGACAGTTTTGTGTGTTGCTTGCGCGAGACAGTTGCTGGGTTAAGTTTGGTCGTACTGTGCCGTCATTGCCCCTTTGAAATTTACATGGCATGGTAGCGGAGTTTCGGCTCCAGATCTAAGTAATGGATGTCGGAGTGAGAGGAATCAGAGGAGAAATCGGACTGTTTTATCCTCCAGGCGTCTTCCGGTAACTGTTGTCGCGCAATGTGCATGCGCTTGAGTTGCGTGGAGTGTCGGACATGCAAGACAGTTCGATTGACTGCCTGCGACAGATTGGATCGTTGATTGCAGCCGCATAAGGAACGAAGGACACTGGCTACACTCAATGGGAAGTGAATGAGCATTGTGTTTGCATCCCCCCTCCCCCCGCCCCCGCACCCCCCTCCCCCCCCTCTCCCCCTCCCCCCCTCCGCCTCCCCCGCCCTCCCCCCCCCTCCCCCTTGCTTTCTTTGAGCCCGCGCAAGCTCGAGCATCAGCGTTTCAAAGCGTACGAATCCTTCCGAACCCGTCGGGCAAGCACTTGTTTTTTTTTTTTAACCCATGCAAACTTGCTTTGCAACGAACATCAGCCCATGAGAAGACTTGCATTCAAAAAACATACGATTGCGTTTGCAATGGGAGGCTCCGCCCCGAAATCCCCAACTTTTTGCAAGCCGCGCAACCTTGCATTGCAAAGAAGATCGCGCCAAGAAGAGGACTTGCGTTGTGTCTTTTGCCCGTGCAGGCTGGCTTCGTAAAGATCATCAACCCATGAAGAAGACTTGCGTTTTGAAACAGACCGACCACAAGGCCCACAGGCCCCTACAGATGGGCAAATTGAAAAGCCCCCCGTACTGTAGCTTGCCGCAAGACAGGACCGTGCAAATTGAATCCCCCAAAAGCTTGACGTTAGCTTGCCGCAAAGCAGTATCAGCCAACCTTTAACACGACTCTTTGGCCAAAACTCTGGTGGACAAATAATAAAAACCCCCACCCAACGCAAGAATGGTAAATACTAGTAAATATAAGAAGAAGAATAACCATAAGAATAATAATGCTGATAATTCTAGTAAGAACAACAATAAATAAGAAGCAATGCCCATAAGGTGCGCGTTGGAAATTGTGCACAACGTGGATGAATTGGTCTTCGAGGCGGTGTGCAGCCGGAAGCTTCAGTGCCCCAGATGCCGAGGATGTTTGCGTCGGGCTTGCCGCGCATTCTAGCCCTAAACCCTGAACCCTAAACCCTAAACCACTTTTTGCATGAGCCGAGGGCTGGCAACCTTCAACGACCACTGTGGTAGTATAAAAGCAAAATCCGAACGTTTTCTTGTTTACGCGCTAAAACCCCTTCAACCTCCCTTCATACCAACCCCTGCGGCCAAAACGCAACCCCAGCTCCAACCAAACCCCTTCCTGCCACCGGCAGTTGTAGGGAGTGTAGCTGGGGTTTGGGGTTTCGCTACTCTCTTTCGGTCACACGCCGAGTAAATACCTGGCTACAAGCTAAGGCAAATGGTCGAGAAAACTCGCATCCGATATGTCCGCGGGCGGACTTGTATGTCTGCCTTGTGTGGACCAGAGAATGCCAGCGAGGATAAGACCATGCAGTGCAAATCGCAGTGTCTGATGCTCTTTCGCGGCTTGGCCTCTTTCATTGGAAGGATGCTGCAGACTGACTCGCCCCCAGTCAACGATACAGTATGCATCGAATGCCCAAACCAGTACCTTAATTACCTCATGCGGAGGCTCTGCACAGCAGACCCAGGCGGGCTTAGCCCGTGCAGCCTTTGCGTCTTAGAGACAGGGGATAGACAAGGGAGGAAGTGCGACTGAGGCTTGAGCTATTTGAGCATCATTCTCTTTGGGGCATGGATGACCACGTTGAATCCGCTGGAACCTTGGGCAAAAGAAGCTCCAGATAGTAGTACAGTGTTCGGTTAACATGTAGCGGCGTAGCGGACCCTTTCGATTTCACAGACTGTCCCCCTCCCCCGCGCTTCCCCCTCCCCCCACCCCCCCCCGTCAAGGAAGCAAGGAGAAGGTTCTCCCGTTTTGGCAACCCTGATGGTCTGCATTTTGCTCCAAAGTAGGTATGCATGCATGCGGAAGGTAGGTTTCGTCTGTGGCACGGACCGTTTTCTTAAGATACCACCCTGGGGGTTAAACCTTCACCTATTGTGCCTCCCTACAAGGGAAACTGCTCGGTGGGCCATGTAGAACTGCTCGCAACGGAAGTGTTCTGTCCTTTTTTGCTTCGACCGCGACGTCAGAATTCGACTGATCCTAGGTGAGTATGGCCGAAGATGCTTATGCCGCCATCTGCGGGCAAAACCTGGACTTTGCGCAATCTGGCTGTTGTCGGCAAATTATGGATAGATATTCGACACCTCCTCTGCATACGTAAACAAAAGCAAAGTTGTGAGCATTGAATCTTGACCACGGGTCGTATTGTCGAGAATAGTTCGGCAGGGTGCTTTGCGCTGTCCATGAGTTCATCCCGAGATTTGCACAATCCAGATTTTGTTTACAGTTCATGGTTCGGGCTTTGTGGGGCTGCAGGTTCAGGACTTATTGACTGACATTGGAGAAAAATCGACGACAGCTCCACAGGCTAGTGATAGGGCGCTCGTTTGGCCTTCCTAACTGCGTTGTGCAAGCTTGCCATGTCAATTTCACGCACTGAAGAGAGCTTGAGGAGGAGTCTGGCGTGAAAACTGTGAGTGCGTATTTGAAGTCTAGGGCTTCTTTCTTGTAGGGTTTCGCCAGTCTGGGCTGTAGTCTGTGAACGCACCACACTCTTAACTGCTTGGTGCCTTCGCTGGTGCAATGTAATGCCGTCCCTCCCTGCTGTCCTAGTCAGTGGCCTTTGGTCGATGCGTAGTCGCAACATGATCTGTGGGAATGACCATGGCATAGTCATGGCATGCAACAGTGTGCCTTACAGTGGCCACCGAAGGCGTCTCTGCGAGACGGAGCTTGGAGCTGCCTTGCCTGTGAGAGAGAGAGAGAGAGTCATGGCATGCAAGGTACATTTCGCATCCAGCCGCCGGCTTGCCGGTATTTGCGAACATCACTTCAGATGCGACGGCCATCACCACAAAATGTTTCTATGCCTCACAATACGAGGTGGCCGGGGTGTTCAAACCGAGCTGTTGATTTGAAGTCTTGAGCCCCACCAAATCGTCAAGCTGCCGTTCAGCAGTCCTTGAGGAGCAGTGTGCAGAGTTTACAGCTGGCCTGACTGACCCTAAGTAAGCCCTACACTCTATAACCCCTGTAACCCCTGAAAGCTGACGGAAGAAGTCAGCACTCCGGCGGGGGTAGGATCTTTCAGGCTCCCAGAGCTTAAGGTGGGAGCCCGAAAGCTCCAGCAAGCCACTGGACGAGTTATAGCAGAAAAAACACTACAGCAGCAAGGATTAAGAATAGAAAAAGCCATAACCATAGAAGCGACTGAAATATAAAAGCAAAGCAATTCCGTGAAATTCCGAAACAAAAGCCTGGGCCGGCCTTTCCATAAAGGAGCTTGGCCCACAGCATGTGGGAGCTGCCCAAAGACCTGCGAGAGATGCGCTCAAACAACCCCGGAAGTAGGATGCAAGGAACGAGATCTGCAGAACAACGATAGGCTGAAATCGATATATACTTAAGTCCTGGATGGTTGTAGGTTCTCATGACGTATGTACAGGAGGAGGACTCTGTGACCTGTATGAGCAAGAACCTTGTTAAAGGATGCTGGTGAAAGGCTCAGGCAAGCTCCTAACTTCAACCTTTCCCGACCCGCAGGCGATTGCAATGCGAGTTGGCTTCGAACCGCAGCATTTCCCGCGAAATGATACATTGGCGCAGCTCGTCAATGGCACCCATGAGTCGTGCGCTATGGAAGACAACGATTGCCCGAGTGCCCGAGCTGCAACAGAGTATTTTGAGTCCTCGAACAGTCGGAGAACTGCAAGTGCTATAGCTGCTAAGCACACCACACTCTTGCTACGTCGGCAGATTAACGCGCACTATCGCTCCGCAGAATGTCTTCGTTTGCACCAACTGTGAAGTTTCGGAAATTCCCTGGCAACGCCGGTGGGCGTTGCCAGCAGCCTTGCTTATCTCGCCACAAGAAGGTGGCATGGGGGGAACCGAGGTGTTTCAAAACAGCATGTTTAGGGTACACTAAACCCTAAACCCTAAAACCTAAACCCTAAGCCCTATAAACCCTGAACCCTGGACCCTAAACCCTAACTCGGGGCCCTTTTTGCTGAAGACACATACGAGAGATCACGATTGTTCCCTGCGGAGTGATCCCAGAGGGGGTCTGCTAGGCGGGTGGCAAAAAAAAACCCTAACTTTTTGCTGCACTGGTCGACTCCGGTTGGGGTGCATGGAGTTTTTAGGGCTGTCCTTTTCTGTTGCAAGGAGAAGCAGGCTCCATGTGCCTGTTCCCGTTTTTTGAAAAAGCCGGTTTGGGAGCTTGTTTTTGTTTGGTGATCCTTGGGGCTTGCTGTAGTCTTGGTAGTCTTGGGTGTTCTTTCTTCAGTGCTTTTTCATGGCACGACCATCTCAGACGTGCTTTGAAACCTCCAAGGTTTGTCGCTCGCAACTCTCAGCAGGCTCAAGGCTTTGTCGGCAGAAATCTTTGATGCAGTGGACCTCTGCCGCGACCAGAATGTCCTACTGCAAGTGCTGCGAAGCACCTGCCTGAATGAAACATACACAAGCGAGAGCGCCGAAGTCTTGGAGTTCAACAACATCCACTCCTGCGCGGACGTTTCACCTTACTGCCTTTGCAACGGGAGGGCGTGCTCTGAGGGCGACTTCGAGGGAGCGCTTGTAAGACCGCTCTCATGGTCTTGGGTAGACCTGTTGCAAGGCATGTGCCCCGGCACTTGTAACAAGTGCCTGCTGCCTGTAAATGCTTCTGCCGTCAGGTGAACCCTGCCTTTGCTGCAGTTGTAAGTACTTCTTGCACGCAGGGGCAGGCCCATTCGAGCAGTTGTAGATGCGCCTCGCACTTTTCTCGCATCTTGCTCGTACACGGCACCAGGACCATGACGAAAAGGTCGATGGGACTTGCTGCTGTCTTTCGGGCATCTTTTGCTGCGCCCATTCACATGATGTCATCGTGGCTTTTTTGACGGCCTTATACAATCTGCACTCCGGGCGTGATGTCGGAGCAGAGTAGCATGTTCACTTCATCTTGGGTCCGACACTTAAGGAGCGTAGAAGGAAGCGACAAGGACTCGACCGGCAATTCCATCGGTGCTTGAATCACCCGGTGCTGTGTATCGTTTCAGTGTGCCCCCCGCGAGGATCAGGGCCTCATCCCCAGGATGAGCACAAGCTTGTTCCAGCGAGTCGCCCAGACCTCAGGGCGCCCCTTGTGTCATAAAGAGTTGAAGATTGCAAGGCAGCTTCTACTGCACAGGCTGCACATATGTGCTATTATGTGCTCATAGGAAGGATTTCGCTTCACTCTGCTGCTGCTTTCGCTTGCCACAGGCAAGCAACCAGAGCAAGACCAACCGCTTTTTGGTCCAGTGCAGCTTCCTGGAAATCTACAACGAGGCTTGGGCATCTGCGGAAACTTGACGGAAAGAATAGCAAAAACATGACCATATCAAAAGAAATGCAATCGTACAATGACATAATAGTTCAATAGGGCCAAAGAGGTAAACAAGACTGGGCAAAAGGTCGCGGAAGGGTCCGCGGAAGGCTTAATTCCAGAGCCCTACCCTCAACTCAAAACCTAGGGGCACCTGGACATCGTGTATGCTCAGGTTGCTGATTTCTGTGTCTGGTGAGAAGGTGGAGTCACGCATTTCTGCGGAAGGCTCGTGGAAGGAATTCGGAATACGCTGCGGAAGGTTTATAATGTCCATGGTTTCAAGCTGCGGGCTAAAGCGTATAGGGAGCAGTGAGCAGGTGATCTACGATCTGTTGACACCCCGAAGCAGCAGCCCCGGTTGAGGGAGAAGTCTTGGCTTGCAGTTCCATGGCTTCTGCCGCCCGTAGATTCCAAAATTGTAGCCGAATCCACACCCGCAGAGCTTTAGTGCAGCTACTGAAAGCTGACGCCAGTGGCGGCTTCCGAGGAGGCAAACTGCTGGAAAACTGAAGTCGAGAGACACTGCAAGGGCCTTCCGTGTGAGGTCGTGCCAAGGGCAAGGGCTTGGAGATTCGAGAGCAGAAGGCAGGAGGGCCGTACGAGAGTTTTGGCGTTGAATGGCCTCAGGGGCCGATCAGTTTCCCTTTTTCTGTGGGACGGGCTCGGGAATTGAGGGCTGAGCAAGATGTAGTCGACATGTGATCGTTACACAGTCTGAGGCTTGCTAGCATGAGAAGTTTGCATCAACGCCCTCAGCAGCGGCTCGAACCACCCCAATCGCCCCCTGAAGCATGCAAGGCTTTGTGCTTCAATTTGCAACTCTCCCAGCAGATGCCCGCAGTGCATCGAGACGTGCGTCACTTCAGCCTTTGAGAAGACAGGTCGCTGTCATACCCTTAAGGGGTTTAGGGTTTAGGGTTTGTAGGGTTTAGGGTTCAGTCCTCTAGAGCTTGCCTGCGATGGAGTCGACGGAGCCGGCAGAGCCGGACTCACCGCACTCCACCACGTCCGCATGGCACCTTGTCCCGTAAGTCGAGTTGCTTCCGAACTGGGTTTAGGGTTTAGGGTTTAGTTTAGGGTGTAGGGTTTCGGGTTTCGGGTTTAGGGTTTAGGGTTAGGACTATAAGGCACCTGGGCGTGGCTCTCGGCTGATTTTTCATAGAGCTCCGGGTTCAAATTGGGACTGCGGCAATGTGTTGACTTCGTGTTTTCAAGGGGGTGGATGCCTTGACGCAGACAAACGGCACCTGATCAAGCATGGCTCAATCCACGCTTTGGGCCAAGTGCCCGGCAGGCCTGTTGACAGCCTGCTTCGACGTAGCTGGTGATCTGGCTGCTTCAGATTCAGCCAGGTGCTGGAAAGTCCATGGCAATGCCAATGTGCCGTTGGGTTTGTGGGTTTTGTGATTCCTCGGACGCCAACCATTCTCAATGAAACCCGGCATCTCATTGACTGCAAGGGGCCCCAGGATGGGGGCATACTGTGGGGAATCAGAGCAGTTCTGCTTACTGTTGGCAGGATGCGGGTTCCATGGTATTTCCGGATTGCAGCAGAGCAACCCCAGAACTTACCGCAACATCCACATGGAACAGCTGCCTCCCACTCACCGGTGTCCAGATTCCAGCAGCCGCATATTTCGGGAACAGGTGTGCAGAGCTGAAAGCAGCGATGCTGAGCATGGGTTAACTCAGCGACGGCAAGAGCCGTGGTTCTAGCTGCCGTTGCCATGATCAGCCGTGGCCGGCTCGCCTGGCGGGTGTGCACTGGGCATCTCTTGACAACGGTATCACGAGCACTGAGACACTGAGAGACCGAAAAGATGGACATGCAGAGGGGTTTAGGGTTCAGGGTTTAGGGTTTAGGGTTGAGGGTTGAGGGTTGCATGCAGTTTGCTTTTAAACCATTCGAAGCAAGGAGTTTGACGCCTCAACTTCATGTGGGCCACACTGGGAGTTTTGACATGTTCAAGAGCTGCAGACACTGGCCATCGCATGTCACACCAGTATTGGAAGATTAGCTACACTACACTACATATTCATGATCTTGAATGCCCATTTTGTCTACAAATATTCATATTCAATGCCTATTTGCCCAACTCCACCCACGAAACCTCAGCTGCTTCGGAGTCCACCAAGGAGCGGCGCAAAGAAAGCCATGGAACGAAAGAGCACCCGCGCTCTGGCATGGGGCCTCCCGGCCTACATTTGATTTCTGACTGGGCTGAAATCATGGCTCACTTTAGAAATTAGGAGATAATTCGCACAAGAAGTTCACTTAACAGAGGCCCTCAAGCTGAGGCAATTCCATCCGGGAGTACAACCAGAAGAAAGTCGAGAGAAGCATGTCATCGCAGCAACTTGCCCTGGTCAGCTCTTGAGCTTGTTGAAGGAAGCCAGCTCAGTCCGAAGACAAGGGTTATACTCATGCCTGGCATATCCGAGTCGGGAGGCCGTGTTGTCTGCGCAGCAGTGGGGAGGGTGTGTCAGAAGGTCACCGCCTACGAAGAAGAGCGTGCGAGCAACCGCCGGGGACTCGGATTGGTGCATCCCACCAAGAGTGGCCAGAAGCTTCTTTGCGAACATCTGGCGATGGCTTACGCTGAGGTTCAGCAATGCTTGCGGAGATACTGCTGCTTCTGCTTCGGCCCTGGCGAAGGACACAGATGATGGGTATAGCTACTGTATGATGCGGATGCAGAGTGCAACGTCAGCGGCAGCTGGCGCAGAGTGCAGGCATATGCAGGCATGTGCAGGTTTGTAAGCCTTGTAAGCTGTCATCGGAAGCACCAAGAAAAATACTGAGATCCCTTTTGAGACTCTGAGACATACATTCCGGAAGGCTGGAGTATAGTTGCAACCAGAAGATGCGCCCAGTCGCATCTTGAGTACGTAGCCTAAGCTTCTCAGGAGATTTGCCTCAAGCCGCCGCTTTGCAGCACTCGTGCTTGTTCTCATCATGGGTTGTTTCGTCATCCGCGGTGGTCCCTTTGCTATCAGCAAATCCAGTCATGGTAAGCTTGGCTGTGTTGAAGTGTGCAGCTCGTCTATGCTGATGGCGTATGGGTGATGTAGGTGTGACCAGGTTTTGGAGCCACCGTTGCAAGACCCTAGAAAGAGCTGCCTCGCGAAAGAAACTATACCGTCCGACCCATGCAACATGGCCCCAAACACCATCTGATTCTTTGGACAGTCACTTGCACCATCTTGCACCCGAAATCCGGCTTTGAAACTGCAGGTGACCATCGCCACGGATGTGGAAGACCTCAAGCAGAGCGTTCGACAGAAGATGTCGAAGCAGACTTACTCGGTCAAGGTAGCCGTTTTGCTACTCCTGAAGCGTGTGCCTGTCAAAACTTGGCTCTGGCCCTTTCTGGTGCAATTCCAGCTTCTTCTCCCCTCTCCGAACGCTGCAGGACTACTACAAGTCACATGGTATCTTCCAAAGGATCGCGAAGAGCAACTACTTCGAAAACTTCACGCTGTTCATCATTGGAGTGGCCTTGCCGCATGGTCTGTCCAATTTGTTTAACGACCTACAAGGTCATAGAGCATCGTGCTGATGGAGGTTGTTGCTCATTCGGGCAGCAACAGTAGCAGTGGAAGTATACCTGCTCTTAAACTCTGCAACCGGTAAAGACTTGTGCAGCGACCATCTCGGCAATGTGGGAACAGTATCCCTATTCAACATGTCAGTGCAGTTCGTTGACTTGGTACCATTTTTCCTGCCGCCAGGTCAACTCGCTGTGGCCCCTCGCCTGATAAAGATATGCGGAGGTTGTTCGTCTCTCAAAAAGGGCCCTCATGAAGACCTGACCAATGCTGTGCTAGTCGGTTCTTCCGAGCAAGTGGTGGATTCCTGAAGCTTGGACAGATGCGTGCACTCACCGCACAGATCCGCACAGGATTGCGTTCGATACCGACAACAATGATGCGTGGCTCAGCTCTCCCTGGTGTGGCTCCAGGGGTTGGTTCTCCTTATAACTATGGGCATTGAGGGCTCTCTCCGCTTGCAGTGTGAAGCTGTTGCCAGGTTCGCCTCCCACTCTTACCTCCGCAAGTGAGCTCCGGCTGTTTTTTTTTTCACTCTCCAACTCTCCATCTCCAGCTGCTTTGGGAAGTCAACACGACCTGGAGACTCGCATAGTCCAGATCCAGACTCAACGTAAGGGCGATCATCACAGAGGCGAAGGTGGAGTTTCAGATTGCAGCTATGCCGCATTTGTGTTCCGATTCAGGCGCTCAGGGTAGGGACACTCCAGGCGGAGAGACACATTGCGCAGGTGTTGTCTTTGCGCAAACTCAAAGCTTTGGGTTCGAACGACCAAGCCTTCAGGAGGTGAGTAAGCAGAGTGTATCCTGAAAGAAACGGGCTTGCTGCAGACGGCGCAAAAGAATCCACCGCCAGATAGTCGCACGGCCACCGGCCACCGACCACAAAGGTTGAGAACATCTTCTGTGCGTTCTTCACATTCGAGTGGTTGGTTCGCTGGTGGCCTGGCGGAAGATGGCGACTGGAGCCACTGCAGATTGTTGTTCTGCTCACTTCCGGAACCCGACCCGCCCGGCTCCAGCACGACTTCGCACAGTTTAGGGTTGGTTTCGGATTTCAAGTGATGGGACCATGTTGGATAGTACACAGGTGCCTGAATGGTGCCATATCACGCCGGTATGGGTGTCATCTATGTGTCCTCCTGCCGAATTCCAGCTACCATGCAGCTTCATCCAACATCATCCTTGGCTGAGCAAGCGCGCGCAGAACCAGACGCGAGGAGCTTTAGATTCGTAGGGGCTCACGCGACATGATTGTTGGCCGACGGGAGCCTTAACCTCAACCTTACTGTCGGTTAGTAGGGATGGGGGAATGAGATACCCTTATTATAAATACATATACATATATATATATATATCTATATATACATATATATACATATGTATATAAACATATGTATATGTACATATGTATATATGATCCCTTACAGGGTATATATAGGGCCCTAGTCCCTCCATTCCCTGCTAACCAACAGTATGTTGTGCTGTCTCCGAGGATGGCATTCCGGAGAACGGCGTATGCATTCATGGATGCCTGGTGCGGACCTTTGTTGATCCTACTACAGGCCATAGAATGCCAAGTGTCTATATATACATACATACATATATACATATATACATATATACATATATACATATATATATATATGTATACAAATATATATATATATACATACGTGTCTCGGACCCACACTTATCCCACCTAGGTTTGTGTTTGACACCTTGCTCGTGACCTTGATGATCCTGGAGACGTGGATCACGTGCATGGCTCGGTGTGGCACCATTTTGTGGCCTGATCATTGTCCATTCCGGGAATCTGTGACAGACCATCCGTTTGCTGCATGGTGCTGTAGTTCCGACAATTACGCACCTGCGCATGCCCTGTTGCCCGGCAATCTTTCTGAGGCCGATCGTCCTGGGCATGCTGAGCATTTCGAGTGGCTGCCTTACATGGTCGCCTTGCAACTGCCCAGTCAGGGAAAGCCAAGACTCAGACCGGATCATCGTCATAGGCCCAGATGCTGTTCTCCACATCCATAGTGGCAATGGCTACAGGAAATCCTGATAATGTCTCCCTTACACCCTATATTTTCCTATATTGTAAACCCCGAAATCCCAAGCCCACTATGGCGAGGTGACGGCATAGGCGACGCCTCCATCCTACGTCTCGTACGGCTGCTGAGACTCGCTCGAATGACACGGGTCGTCCCTTGGACTTTGCAATGAGTCGAACTGCTGGTTTCTGAAGAACATTGGGACGCGCCCTCTTCTTTGTTGTATTTGGGGGACCCAGTTAATGCCGACTTGAATCTGTGGCTGTGAAGATCGTTGAAGTGTGTTTGTGGCCGCTGAGTTCTGACCTGTCTGAATGGCTGTGCATGAGAATAGCTGACTGGCTGGTTCTTCGTAGGGAACGAGGGCATGAGGCACCCTACACAATCCCTTTCCCTCATTCCCTACTAAGAACCAGGGGTACTATACGGAAGGAGGCATGCTGAACTGTGCTGATCGGATGCTGAGGCGAAGGACTAGGAAAGGATTTTTCTCTTCTTCAAAGTGTGCTGCAATGTAGACACTGATCCGCAGCTGGATTCAGAGAGCAGGGAGTTATGACCTTGTTATTTCTCTTGCGCTGCCTAAATTCTTCCGTGCGGTTTTCCTCAGCGCGACACTGGCAAGAATTCAAACCCCAAAGTGTCAGTTGGATAAACTTCCTGCTGGTGTGAGTGATTACACAACAGCAGCGGCTTCAATCTGACATCCGACGATGAGCTTCTCTGTGTTACTGAAATCCCCTTCCTGTGATCGTCAGCTGCTTCCCAGGCAAAGCTCCTGCGCGCTTTTCCTGAGGTGCTGATCATGATCAAAGGCAGCTTTAAAGCAGCTAAAGCACGCAGCAGAGAGTTAGGAGGTTCAATGGTGCACAGTGCAGAGGGGTTGGGTGCTTTGCTGACAAGTAAGCTGGTATCAGCTCGGGGGCTGTGGAGCGGGCATAGCCGGCGCTGAAAGTCGAAGTCCAGCTGTGGAGTGCCAAAGAGAATGTTCTAAGTCATCGTCCGCCAACCTTCCCGGATGCAAGAAGGACAACTTGCAAGCTGTGGAGATGAAACTCTAAACCCTCAACCCTCACCCATTAAAGAAACAAATGCCCCAAATGGCACCCGCACACTGCGCATGGCCGTCAGGCATCAGTGCAGCGGGTCGGTCTGTATTCTTCACCATCTGCCTGCTCATCCTGGTAGAAGCCTCAGCACGGTTGGCGCTTGAAGGTTCGAGGTACCCCAAACCCTATAAGGCCTACTTTAGGCCGACGGTCACTTTGATGCTGAGACTCGACGCCTGGGTAGGTGCTGTACATCTTCGGCATTGCCTTCAAGCAGATTTGTGTAGGCGGAAGCGTGTTCCGCTTCTGTTCCTGAAGTCTGCAGAGCCGAGATTCTGAAAAGTGAGCAAGACGCCGCATACCGAGAATCTCATGCTGCCCAGGAGTAGGTCCCAAATCCAGAGCTGAGAGATGCCAACCCTGCAGATACGAAGACCATCGGAGTGGACAAGTTCCCCACTGTGCCAGAAGCCATGCTCACTCTGCTGATCCACGGAGTGCGTCTTGGAGCAATGGTGTTTGCCCTGTGGTCTGTCGCCCTTTAAGTCGTGTCCTGGCCCAGCTGCCAAAAGTGGTTTCAGGTTTATGGACGATATGGCAGAGCTGCAGAAGCCTCAGGGTGTTTCTGTGCCTGCCGAACAGGAAAGGAACGGCCTGAGCGACCAAGAAGTGAGTGTGAGCTGTGTCGTGAAAGCGTTGTTGCGCGCCAAGGGTGGCTATTGTAAAGGAAGAAAGCTCCGTTGCCTTCGGCCTGCCTGGTACCTCAGGTGTTGATGGGTGATTTTGGCATTCAGTCATCAGGTTGACTCGGGGTGCGAAGCAGCGGATGCGTGCATGTGCGTTCGGAATGTGCTCTCCAGAGAAGCCTCGGATGTTTCCTAACACTGCAAGCCAGAATCCTCAGGTTCATCATCTTTGTGCTTATTGCACGAGCCTCAGCTGTCTGCAGATGGCAGAATCCCAGGGCCTAGGATGGGGAAGATTGGAATGCCTAGAGCTCAGGCCTCCATCACCCTCATGAACATGCTCATCGGACTCTTGGTGGCACCGGTGGCCACTGCGTGCGCTAGCAGAGATGTGCATGGGGCAAGCTAGAGCGGACTACATCGAGAGCGAGGCCTAGACGCTCGTGCTGTTATAGGGCTGCAATATGCTGCACTCCCTACGTGCTTGGAGTTAAGCCGCTCTTGTGTGGATGCGATGCCATCTCAAGCTCCCCGAATTGCGCAGCAAATGCGGGAAGAGGCGCCTTTTCAGGGCGCATGGCCCTGGAAGCCCTTGAAAGATGCCGCTAAGATGCCAGTCCCTTTGCAAAGCCTACCCCCCTATAACCCCCCTATATCCCCCCCCTTAAACAGCCTACCCCCCAATAACCCCCCTATATCCTATTATATCCCCCCCTATGCCCCCCTTTACCCCCCCTACCCCTCCCCCCCCCCCCCCCCCCCTCATCGGCCAAGGAGTGCTGTGTGAAGTGGTCTCCATGGTCGGGCAGAGCGAGCGCGAAGAACTGCTTGTGGACCTCGTGAAGCGGGAGCTCTTGGACTCCCAGTCTGTTTCATCCTGGGGGCGAGTGATAGGGTTTAGGGTTTAGGGTTTAGGGTTTAGGTTAGGGTTTAGGGTTTAGGGTTTAGCGGCTCGTTGAAGGTCTTGGCCATCTTGGGGCCCAGAAGTGGTTGGAAACCTTCCAAGTAGCCATACATGGGGTACCTCAGGGTTGAGGGCTCATGGGGTTTAGGACAGGAGAGGTGGACAGGGTTTATTTCGGGTTTAGGGCTCAATCCCCTCGAGCTTTTCATATGCGGCCTGTCCGCACAGCAGCTTCGGAAGGGGGTGTGGTTTCTCCCCCCCCCCCCCCCACCAAAATACTCCAAGCGCGGGATGAAGCCCATAAGCCTCTGTGCGACCTTCCAAGGACATTATCATATCAGCCGACGAAGCTTCTTGTCTCTGAAGCTATGTTGTTGTGTTCGTACAGTGCTTGCAGGGTAGTGCAGGGCTGACAGTGGGGCAGACAAAGCTTGGAGACGTGCTTTTGGTGGACATACAATTTTCAACCTATACCTAGGCAGATTGAAAGAGACAGGGTGCAAGAGTAGTCGGATTGAGATAACGATTCGATGCAAGGGGGTTTGCAGAGTCATGCTGCCAGTTCCTCCTTCGGTATTTTGTCAAGAGTCCTGCCCTGAAACGCAGGCCAACGGCATCCCAAAACATGGGGTACCAGTAGGGTTCCAGTCCCAGCTTGCACCAGGATGGCGATGGGTTGATGTCACATGCAGAGTTCCTCAGGCAGCTCGGGTCTGAACTGCAACAACGACCGTATGCAAAGCTCTTTTGATGCGATGCTTCACGTTTGTGCACGTGGTTGTGGGGGCATGTGACATGTGGGCATGCGAGTGCGCGCGTGAGCGAGTGTGCGTGCGTGTGCGTGCGCCTGGACACGTATGCGGGGTTGCGTGCGTGCTTAGGTGCAGGTGCGTGCCTGCGTTTGTGCGTGCCCGCATGAGCGGGTGCCCGCGTGCCCGCATGCCCGCGTGCCCGCGTGTCCTGTGTGTGTGTGTGATCGTCAGCGATTGTGTCCAGCTAGCCCAGCTAGCTGCGCGACTGTCTGGGATTAACACTTGCGTTTCCCGAAGGCTGCCCCCAAAACTTCAAGCCTCACGACCACTTACTTCGCCGCGCGATCAGGATCTTGGAAAGTTCCGAGGGCCTCAAAGCGCTGGAGACGGCTCGAGGGGGGACGGGAGAGCATGGGCAAAGGGATGGCGCCTTGGGCATCTTGCAAGAGTCTCATGCCCAGGGGAAGGAGTGGAAGGCTTGACAGCCCTTACACGGATGGCTCTTTAACTGCTTTTGATCAAAGATATGGCACCAACCCGAATTCGACTGATAAGCCCTAAACCCTACATAAACTTTAAACCCTAAACAGTCCCTAAACCCTCCCTAACCCCCACTCTGGACCCAAACCCGATGAAGCCCGGCAGGTCGGGGTCGATCCTGTGGGTTTGATTGATTATGCAGACCAGATCTTTGCGAAGGACGTCTGATGCCGTGTGACGCCATTCTGTTCGATTGGTAGTTTAGGATGTTTAGAGGCTCTATAGAGTTCTTGTAGGGTTTATAGGTTTTCTTGGGTTTATCGGGTTTGGGTAGACTCAGAGCTGCCCCATTGATGCAAAGCAGCGGCGGAAGTTTCCAAGGCTTAGGTCAGATCATCTTAGGTTTAGAATTTCCGAGGAAGCCCAAAGGCTCGTCTGCCTCATGCGCGCAGGAGAATGGAGATGAAGGACAACAAGAAACCATCCTGCCACCTGTCGAGCAATATGCATGCCACGATAGGCCAAGTCAGCTCCGATTAAGCGCTACTAGTGAAGGTGTCAGCCCACCCTTCTGTGTGTTCACGCACCTTCACGCACTGCACGGCGCAAGGTTTTCCCATTTTATGAACGAGATTTTGCAGCTGCGGGGCAGCAACACCTGCACGGTGAAGGCTGTGGGAATGCTGAAGTATCACAAGGGCCAGATTGCTGATAGCTTTTTGGGCAAGTGCTGCGCACGCCAGAGAGCACGCTTTTCTTGGTGTGTAATAAATCACCTGCTGGCGTCCCATTTTGCTCCCCACAACTACAGAAGCTATATCCTGGCCAGGACCTCATCAACATGCGAAAAGTCGTCGAGAGATCGAGCAAGGCCTTCACGCGTAGTTTGCTCTCAGATTTTCTACCTGCTGCGGGTCCCCCAAATCCACGTGGCATCGGGGGATGCCAGTTTTTTTGGTGCCCGCAGTGCCAGGATTTCAAGGAGCAGCTGGGACACGTTACAACGCATCTCACTGTCCTGGAAGAGAAGCTAGAGGACAGGGATGGGCATCATCTTGCCGCACGTCACCTTAGAAAGTGACGGCCGTAACTGGACAAAATTATGTTTGGCCATGGCCTTCAAGTGTAGTTAGCATTGGCTGGCCGGATTGTGTGCATGGCAACCTCGCCGGAGCCAATTGTTGTCCTTGAGAACCTCGCAAAAAAATAACCCTAAACCCCAAACCCCAAACCCCAAGCCCTAAACCCTAAACCCTATAACCCTAAACCCTAAACCCTAAACCCTAAACCCTAAACCCTAAACCCTAACCCTATAGATCCTATAGGCGACCTGCATGGGCTCCAGGTCCCTTCACCCAAGCCCGCCATGCATCCTGCGTGTTTCTGCGGTTAGGGTTTAGGGTTGAGGGTTGAGGGTTCAGGGTTTAGGGTTGAGGGTTCAGGGTTCAGGGTTCAGGGTTAGGGTTTAGGGTTGAGGGTTCAGGGTTGAGGGTTCAGGGTTTAGGGTTATGGGTGGTTGTCAAACTTATGGTCCCTTTTGGGGTCCCTAATATACTAGGGCGCCCAAATATTTATGGCACCCGGTTTCAAGGGATCATAATTTTGACTGCCACCCATATGAACTGAACGTATGTTTTCAAGAAAACGAACACACAGATTTTTCATACAGCCTTTGTTCTGAAGGGTACACAGATCTTCGCGCTCACTCGCAGAGTGAGCAATGCATGCAGGCAGAGGGAAACTGAAGGCATAGCTTTGCAGCCCAGCCAAACCTCAGACGTGACGTGTTGTAGGCACTAAGATGGGCCACCACAACCTCATACATGCTGGTGAAGCGAGGACCTGAAAGTGAAGGGGCCAGTGCATGAGAAACAGGAGAACAGCCTGGCTAAGCCAGAGTTGTCACAGACGCTCGGCAAGTGGGGTGAAGCAAATCTGTGAAGCCCTCTTTTCGTCAGCCTCTTTACACATGCAGAAGCCGAGGACAATGTCAAAGACACTGTCCAAGGGTGTGGAACAAACGCCGCGAGATCTATCTCCAGCGCCTTGGATGTCACGTGAGGGTTGTTCTAGACCCCCGCCTCTTCTCAGAAGATTGGAGTAGTTACAAAGCTATGTTTCATGTGCTTTTGGGGATGATTGGAGTGTCCAGAAATATTTTGGATGTTGGCTCGGACAGCCTAAGAAGCCTTGCAGCGCTCAAGGAGGCAAAGTGGGGGTAGGGTGTCCAGTTCAGGGCTTTGTGGTGTGGATTCCGAGGAATACAAGGGCTTTGCTTTGCAGACTTGCGTTGTAAAGGTTTCCTGCTCAAGCTGCGAAGAACAAGGAGGAGAAGAAGAAGAAGAAGAATCAGAACAAGCAATCGAGACAGACTTTGGGGATCGACTGCTTGACCCGCGGCTCCCCTCTTCATAAGCCTAGAAGAGGAAGAGTGACTGAGTGAGGGAGAGAATGAGAGAGGCATTTTTGTATGTTTTTGAGAACTGCCGAGGTATTGCTGCAAGCCCACATGCCGCCGAACCCGACTGGCTTTCGCAAGACAACGGGGCCCGGGCACACGGCAGACATTTAGGGTTTAGGGTTCGCGGTTTAGGGTTTAGGGTTTAGGGAGAGGGTGGCGTTGCCGCTTAGCGACTGCCCTACCACGAGCAACCTGCATCTCAATGTGATTGGGCAGGAACATGAAAGTCGGAGATCCCAACCTATACAGTCCGGATCTCAGACGAGCATGCATGGTGCTTGCGACTTATGCCACAGCTATATGTGTTCAATCAAACCCACAACTGCAGTCCCAATTTGGCCAGATCCGTTGCTCACTTTATCTACATTGGAGGGGCTGGTTTGCTGAGCCTCGGGCTAGTATGCTGCTGGTCGGTTCAGCTGACTGGTGTTTCAGGCTAGGCTTCAGTGAGTGACTTCTCGTGTATCCTGCGGGGCAGCTCTGTCCAGCTATCTGGCAGAGATATTCCGTCAAAGCATGTATTGAAGCAACTGCTTTCGATCTCTCAATTCAACGAGCATCTTGATTTCACCTTCTCACGGGCACAAGTTGAGCTGACGCCCACACAGGCAGCGTGGCCAACGCTTGGGGGACCGCCACCAAGACCTACTTCCCGGATATGGAAGGAAGCCTTTCACAGAAGCTCCTTGAGATGCAGGCACAGGTTTAGGGATTAGGGTTTAGGGTTTAGGAATTTGGGGCGGCTTATGGTTTAGGGTTTAGGAATTTGTCAAGGGCCTCCCTTTGCATTCTGCCTCAAGGTGCATGCTCCTAGGAATTCTGCATGCTGTCTCGATTGTTTCTTTTCCTCAGCTTGAGCGGTTCGCTGTTGTCTTCTCCACACGTTAAATACTGTGGATTGGACCCACATCCCGTGAGCTTCAAGCATGAAAGTTGTCGATATCAGTGAAAGGACCACTATTCTGAGTTCTCTGATGTTCAGTCTTGCTCGCTCACAGGTTGTCATCCCTCTTTCTTTTAGCACCACGACCATTCTGAGCATCGCCTGCTCGCTGCAGCCATGACCAAGCCATGAAATAGGCCTGAGCCATTGATCGATCTTTTGGCGTCACATTCTTCGGATTGGCCTTTGCCTCGTCCAGTTGTTCCTGGTCCAAGTTGGCGTTGTACGAGCATCCGCAGCTGTTCCTCTGTTGGCCAGGAACGATCTTTGCGAAAAAGAATAAACAAGAAATGTGTCCAATGTATGCAAAGGCTCTTCCCGTCGAAGACCTCCTTGTTCGCCAGCTTTGCTTGAAACAATGGATTGTTTCCATCCTTGGACACGGTGTGGTGGATTGCGCCCCAGGCAGGAACTGGAAACCGGGAAGTAAGCCACTCTGGCACTGAAGAGCTCTTTGTCAACAGAGCCCTCGAAGATCTCAACCTCGCTTCTCTCGCCTCGGCTGTCTCCTCCGGCTCTGCCGGAGCATCCTTGGCTTGATTGCTTAAAGCAGAGACGCAGGAACAAGCGAAAGGTTGTCGATATTTTACACAAAAAAAGGCTGACAGGGAATCCCTCTACTTATTTAGGAAGCCATGGCCCTAGGGCTAAGCAACAGAACCCAGGGCCCTAAATATGCTGTCCCGCAGCCTTTGCTTGGCTGGCCTGCTTATCTTCCTCGAGCTCGGCCAGGAGCTGCTCACAAGCAAGACAAGCGGGATCTACATCCTCCTCACCATGCTCCTCAATTCTTGGTGCGTTTCCAGAAAAAAAGGCTCTACGGAAAAAATGTTTCAACATAGCCTACACATGATTCGTTTTGAACCTCTCCTGCTCAATTTCGCCGCCATCTTCATCATTCTCAGTCCTTTTTCGCTTGCCCCTGCTTTGTTCTTGCTGCTGCAAGAGTGCCTCGATCCTGTCCCTCAAGTTCTGGTCCGTGTTCTCTTTCACGGACGTGGTTTCCATGAGGCCTCTGATCTTTGCAGCCTTTGCTGCGTTTTTTGGCATCCTTATGCCTTCCAGTGCCAGAAGCTCACTCAGACCAGCTGAAGTCATCTGCAAAATCATTTCTGCCCGGAACAGGAAAACGAGAAGGCTCCAAGGCTGCGGTGCCCTTCGAATCAGAATGGTACTTGACTTTGCAGCCAAGGCAGCATCGGCAACGTGAAGCGAGTACTCAAATATCTCCACCTTTGTTGATTTAATTGAACAGTTTCAGACACTTGCCGTCGCTTTATTATGGGTTAGTTATTGTCTCTTCCCCCAAGAATATTTCGTTGCACGGGCCTGGTCCGATCTCAGGCGGACGGTCTGAAACATGTTCCTTGTTTTGTTTCTGTTTGCAAGAACAGAAGCAACTATTCACATCAAGAAAACAAACTATGTTTTGCGGGCAAAAGAGAAACCTATCTCAGTCACGTTGCGGGCCAAAGTCCAGGCGCAGGGCACGTGTTCTATCGTCGTCTTTCTGGAAGGGGTCTGCAAGCTGTCTCCCCGCTTTTGCACCGAAAGCAAAGGGCTTGTGGTTCTTTTGCGTTGCAGGCAGGAGGCCCCGGAACTCCCAAGGAAGCTCTCTCAAGCGAATAGCCTGGACTGGACTCGCTATGTTCTAGAGTCTTTACAGCCCAACCTTGTAAAAAGAGCACAGAACGTTGAGAAAAAAAACGAGGCAATCCAAGCAACATGAACCACAGCATACGTATTGCTGATGCACATGTAGAACTGGCCAGCATGGCGGAAAAGGAGGCCTCTCTGCAAGCACTCTGCAACCCAGAAGTGCTTGGAGGCATCCACAGGGTTTTCTCCATTCCTGGTAATCCCTACTAAACATCAAATAAACGCTGGACCCTGAAATGCACCCTAAACCCTAAAGCCTAAAGTTCTAAAACGCACCCTACACCCAAACCCTAATCCTTACTTACCCCTAAACCCTAAACCCGAAAACCTGAACTACAAAACCCTGGCCCTAACCCTTAACTGCTTAACTAAAACAGAAACCCAACCTAGACCCCAAACCCGACGCCCTACACTGCAATGAGTACGAGTTTCGACACCGCATCTTTCAACGCCGCCATGGTGTTGAGCCCGTGGTGCGTCATGTGGTGGGCCGACGTGCTCGGGAACGTCTTGAGGATCTCGTCCAGGCGAAGGTGTTTGCCTGTGATTGAAGCATGCTTGCCAATGCTCAGGTAGCACCCCAAAACATTAATAAACTTTGCGAAATCTTTCACTCAGGCACATGGCAAAGCCGAGCTCGGGCTCCAAATTCGGCTTTTGAGCCCTCGGATTTCCTTGCCCTCCCAGTCCTCCTCCACGAGCTCAGGCGTTTTGGGGCTGTCAGAGTCTTGACACACCCTTCTCAACAAAGCCCGCAAGGCAACGCACCCCAGATTTGTGAGACAATCTTGAGGAGCTCCGGATTTGCGAATCGCATACTCCATCTCCCGGAAGATGTTTTCCAAATTGCTGCTTTGGCTGAAGCTGGGATACCATGCTTCTACGATCTCTCGGACCGGGGCACAAAACCGGAATTGATGTCGTTCGAACACAGAAAGAATCTCTCTGTAACATTGAAATGTTGTGAACATGCAATGCTTCCTCAAGACTTCCTGTCCTGCAGGCGATTTCTCCATTTCAACCACCATGTTCCATTCCTTTTCGGCTTGCGTCAAGATAGTGGCCTGTGTGTCCACCGTGCTCTTTTCAGCCAGAAGTCCGGCCGACAAAGAAGGGAAGGACCGAAGGTGCAAGACGTATTCCAGAAACTCGGCGCAGCAGGTGAAGTAGGAGAACAGTTGCTCCAAGAGTATCTCCGCCTCCATGTTGTCCCTTCCAAATTTCGGCTGCAAAACCTCGTTTCTTTAGGGTCTGCTTTTGGTTGGGATTGGCGTACGAAAGGAAGAACCCCCAATTCCCCTGCCCAACCCCCTTCCCTCCCAAGCCCCCCCACCCAAAAGAAAAAGAGGACAAAACAGAGAATCACCAAAACCTTAACTGCACCAGTTACTGGGGGTGGAAACTGGGGGTGCCAAGCTGGGGTGCCCAAGCTGGGGTTGCCCAAACTATAGAAACTAGGGCGCAGCACCGAAAGCGAGGGTGCAGGAAATGGTCAAGATAAAAAACAATTGGGGTTGGGGTGTCCAAACTGGTGTGTGGGTAGGGTGGCAGGGGGGGGGGGAGGTGGGTGGGGGACACACGCAGCCAGCAGTATCAAACCCCTACAGACCCCTCAACCTCTCAAACCCCCATGCACACCCGCCACAAAGTCGCCAAACGCCCCCCCCGCAGTGTGCAATCACAGACGGTGCCATCCTTGGCTCCTTGATTTTCGCGCTCGAAAGCTGTTAAGGGCTCGGAGTTTTAGAGTTTGGGGTTTAGGGACTAGGATTAGGCGAAAACGGGCTGAGGGCTAATGCAGAGCATAGTTAGGGGCAGACCTGGACAGAAGGTTTCGTCCTTTGGGTGTTTGATTTTGACGCTCCAAAGCTGTTAAGGGTTCGGAGTTTCATAGTTGGGTTTAGGGACTAGGTTTCAGGCAGAACGGGCTTGGGCCTCATGCAGAGCACAGTTTAGGGCAGGGATTCTATTTGCCCTGGCTGAGCTGGCTTCTGGTATTGCCAGCTTTGCGTGGTTTAGACGTTTAGGATGTAGGGTTTAGGGTATTAGGGTACAGGGACGAGTTTCGGGTGGAACGCAAGAAGGTGGCAGGACAAGCTGACGGTTACCTAGCTACCCTGTTTACGAGCCCAAATCCGGGCCATGGCCTGGTCCTGCGGGAATTCCACATCCGGCTCGTGTCCCAGGACGTGAGACTGCAGGACGTCGAAGGCCAGACCACTGAGCATCCGTTCCACGTTTTTGCTGCTCATTTCCAGCACATGCCCGTGCAGATGCCATAGCTTCCGGGCATTCCGTTGCTTAGTTGCGTAGACAGGTCGCTCTTCTTATTCTCTCTGACCGCGTTAGTTGCATGATTGCAGCCCAGATACCAAGTCCAGGGATACATTCCGAAACGGCTCCATGAGGACGCGCGTGGATTTCCAAAGCGCGTACACCTGCTCGTCCATCAGGGCCTTACGACATGCAAAATTTGGCACGCTTGTGCCGACGTTCCAAGCCAACAGCCCTGCCAGTGCATCACGGCTGCTCGAATCGTCAAGTCGACGACCTTCTCGAAGTTAGACTCCGGGACTTCTGTCTCGGAACTCTTACTGATGATGTGAAAAGGGTTGATGCCGGCCTGTGCACAATCTTGCTGGGGGGGGGGGGGTAAGGAATAGTTTGCCGAAAATGCCGCCTCTATGCCACTCCAGAACAGTAGGAGAAGGGTTCCCGTGAACTGCGTCCTCTTTGAGGTGTGTGCCCAGCTGCACCATCGAGAGAAATCGAAGCCATCGTCGTGAAGCCTCGGCTCATTCTTAACAAAACAAGAGAATTAACCAAAAATCACTCGCAATGTGTGGCAAGTAGCTTGACCAACCGGGAGAGAATGTCCACAATTTTCTCGAAGTCGTGCTCTTTGTTCTCTGTTGGAGCCAACCCGTTCCTTCAACCCAAAAAGAAACACACAGCAGCGAAACTTCGACAAAGATATGCAGTTAGGGCACTCGAGGAGGATGTCCCTGGAGAACATCTCCTGTAGTACATCGCCAGCTTCTGCCTGGGCGAAACAGTAGGGAACATGGTTCCGGGTAGGGCTTTAGGGCTAGGGT